AGGTGAGGCTTCGCGACAGCCAAACACCATGGTCCTGAAGCACATCCTTGCACCTGCCGCTGCCACTGCCTAATGATGCTTTTTGAAGTCTCAAGACACAAGCTTCAGATGCAGCAGCCAAGTTTCCAAAAGTGAGGCTTTGCGACAGCCAAACACCAAATCCCCTGGTGCTCGCTTTTCCTTCACTGCGCCCCCTGCTGATGGCCGGGGTCTGTGAATAGGGATATTTTCGCGAAAGTTTTGCGAAGGAGCGGGCGGAAGTCAAAGTGCATATTGAAGGGGGTGGGTTAGTAAACCTTGCAAAAACAAACCTAGTCAGCAACAATCTGTCTTTAGAAGGGATTCCGTGATCCTAGCTGCACGTTTGATTAAAAGGCTATCAAAATTAAGAAGTGATCCGTGATTCTCTGGCGTAATTTGGCAGGTGGTGAACGAATCTTCATAAGAGGCACTGTTGCCCAACATGGGCCCCGCGAAAGATAAACGTGGAGTTCGCGAAAGTTTCGCGAAAGTAACATTTTTATTCGCGAAGAATGGCGGTTTGCGGATAAAGGAATTTTGATCAACAACCATACGTTCTTTTTGATGTCCCTTGGCAAGGTGCAGAATCCATTGCACCTGCCACATGAAACGGCGCTTCAACGTCCAAAAGTGGTCCGAACATGTGGTGTTTTTAGCATTTTCACCTCCAAATGTGCTTCGCGCCACGACGGCATGCACTTTTTCCACATCTCAACTTCCAAAAGTAGTCCGAACGTGGTGCGATTTGAACATTTTCACTTCGAATGCTTCGCGCCACAGCTGCGTACACTGTGCCATCTCAAAATCCAAAAGTTGTCCAAACTTGGTGTGCTTTTCCCAAATTGGCTTCGAAATGTGCTTCATGCCACAACAGCGTGCATTTTGTTGACATCTCAACTTCCAAAAAGTGTTTTGACCGTTTCGACTTCAAAATCTGCTTTGCGCCACAACAGCGTGCAATTTTTCACCTCTCAGACCCGAAGCTTGACCCGGGCCCTTTCGCGCGCCTTCATCTTCTATTTCTACTGATTCTTTCTCTTCTGATTTTTTCCTCTTCTGTGACTGCTTTCACCACTGTTGCTGCATCTGTCCATAAGTCGGAAGTTTGACTCTTAAAACTTCCTCCGAACATACATAAGATTTGGATCGCGGATTAGTTTTACCTGGCAACGGTGATGACTGGGGTGGTTTAAAGTAATTTTAGACCAAGTAGAGATTACATAGTTTAATTTTCCCAGGGCCCCACAGCACGTTGACATACGTTGACAAGGCCACGCAAATGCGTCGGCGATGTTTTCGCCGTGCTGGAAGGTTGTTTGGAACCAAGACCGGTCGCATCGTATGGTCTCAGCTGGGCACCTGTTTGCCTCTGATCGTTTCGGTACTCTTGAAGATCACCACAGAACAGCACCCCCCCATCAACCCCTAGTGGTATTGTCCCGTGTCGTGGGTTTTTGTTTAACCTCATATTGTGCAAATTTCGACGTGAAACAGCCACTGGCAATGGGATGAAAGGCGTTCAAAAGGCATCGAACTTGTGCCATGAAACACAAATGGAGTGTCCACACAGCATTCTAGTCAGCTACGTTCATCGGCATGAAAGAACAAAACCGTGTGTATACGGACGAAGAAATTTAAATAAATAAATATAATTAAATATATATATATATATACATGATATGTGTGTGTACCGGAGATAATTTTGAAAATGTATGAAATTCGAATAGAAACTGAATAATATGAAGATTGTTGGGCACCTGTCGTTTTCAGGAGCCGCATGACCACATATTCATCATTGAACCTGACAGATGTCAGCTTTGGAAGGGTTCCGCAAGTGCTGCAACTTGAACCCATGATTGTGTGCCCTTGAAGCCTGTAATATCATGTAATTGTGCAAGTGCCATGATTGTTTCACCTCGCTATAGTAATCATGCTGCGAGAATCACACTTGTCTTCACATTTTCCTGGGCAACCGTGCAATTACAACATCTCGCTTTGAAGTTCGTCTCAGGCGTGACACTTGCAATGGTGGTTCGAAACTTCGACTTCTCGCTTCTTGCCTAACTTGACTGTGTGTGTGCGCGCGAACCTTGAGCATTTCTTGGGTGTAAAATTGTAAACCGTCAACCAAGGATTTACTGGTTTCATATTTACGGTGGATTCCATTAGGCGGCGGAGGTAACTCCCAATCAGCCAGGTTGAAAAAAACACAAACGAATTCACGGTGCATTTCTGGGAATTCCCTCTGGCTTACCAAGCCAACCAGCTTGACCCATGCCATGCAGATGGCACAGCAGTGAGGTTTGCAGCACCCACTGCTGATCCTAGCCAGGCGCAGGGTCACAGTTGCCATTGCCATGTGCATCATGTTCCCACCACTTTTCCGCGTATGTTAGTATGTTCCACATATGTTCCACATGTTTCCACCATGGTCCAAGCAATGTGTCCACCATGTTCGACAGTTTTCCGCCATTTCCTGTACGTCATCGAGAAACTATTGGAAACGAGTATATTATTGCCTTTGGGATCCTTGTGGCAGGGAACCAGCGGCAGATTCGCCAGTTTAGTTCTTCCAGAAGTTCAGAAACCAAATTTGCGCTCCCGGTGTTTTGGGTAAAACAGAATCACATCTGAAATGCAAGACCTCGAGTGCATATCCATTTGCACTGTGGAAGCAGTGGCGTTCTCCTTATGGCTACAAGCTAAAGAGTCGCAGAGTAAACGTTGAGCAGACATGTTGGAAGGTACCGGTTGAATTCAAGACCCGGATTTTTCTTGGCAGAACGCCAACTCTTCCGGCCTCTAGCTGTAGAATTTCTTTTTGAAAAGATCTAAGCACTTGACAGCGACAAAACTGCCTGCGCCAGGTCGGCACATGCACAGGAGCCACCATCCACACAAAGAATCTTGGCTAAAGGGAGACGAGATGACCATGGCTCAACCCAATGCATTGACTCGTCTTTCACAAGCACGCCCGGGGCCTCTCCACCTGTTGTCAGTTCGAGCTAGGGGATTTGGGATAAAGGGAAAAAAAGCTGTTAAAGACGAGGAGAGCAGGCACGCCATCCGCCGGTGTCACTCTCCATACTCTCCAGCCCTTCAGAGCATTAATGTATAAATATCTAGTATTAGTATTTGAAACTTGTATTGGCCCTCACGACCCTCTCCATCACTGAGCCACAGCATTACAACTGTCTAAGCCAAAGCACCTCTTGGCAAACTGTTTTGGCGGGGCTGATATTGTTGTTGCATTTGAATACACTTGGGGTCTCCTAATGATTTGAAATACAGGGGCATCGCCACTGTCAGACCTTCACAGGAATGGCCTGTGGATGCAAGCGCGTGAGAGGGTCCTACAGCATTAGCTGAAACAAAAGGGTGAAGAATGGCACAGATATGGGACCTATGGCAATGGCAACTACCTGCTACTTCTAATACAACAAGAGTTGAGAGTTGCCGCACCAGCTCATTTCCAGCTGAAAGCATGGGAGAGGAGTTTGCTTGGAGTAGGAGCTATGAAGTGCCACGACAGATCAACATCAAAGCCATCTCACAAGCATTAGCCACACTGGAACAACATGGCTTGTTTTTTGAAACGGTTTTTCCAGACCTGCGCGATACCACAATGAAGTAGGTGCGGACCTGCCCAAAGTGCAGTGCAGGAGTTTTATGGAGAAATCGCGTGATTTCTGAAAATTGGCTTGGCAAAGGGTAATGGTTTTGGAGGTGGCCAACATCTTGCAACTCCCAGGATCTCACAATAATACAGCACGTAGATGGGTAACTAGTTAGTACATACATATTCATGCTCATTACATCTGTATGATTATCTGATAGCCTTCGGCATTCCGCCCGCCAACATGCTGTAGTCCTGTTCTGTTGCATCTCCCTGTCCCTTACGGGTCTGGGCAAGAAGTCGGAATTCTTGGGCCGGTCGGACATGGCGAGTCCCGTATTTTTCCGGTTTGGAGTTGTTGTGGTCAGTTTTGTGGTGGACATTGGTGGACTGTTTTGACAGTTTGGTGTGGCTTGTATATAACATTTGGTGAACGTTTGGGGTCATGTGTTTTGAGTGTGTCTCTCTAGTCATCACGCAGGAGGCTTTGAGAGATCTGATCAGTGTGCTATTCTGTGATTTTGGGGTTAAAGTGCTAAACCAGCTTTGCCTAACCATCAATGTGTCGATGACATGGAGAAACGAAAGAGAGAAGACCGACACTGGAGGATGAAGGAGGATGAAGGAGGATGAAGGAGGATGAAGGAAGAGAACAGAAGAGGATGATGATGATGATGATGACGACGATGATGATGACGATGACGATGACGATGACCTCTGAGACGATGATGATTTAAATAAGGTCAGTGCTAGTTCGTTGGAGAGAAGAAATGGGACGAGACGAGCCTAGGCTAGTGTATACTAGGCTATAGCTATAGTGTGTATGTGATGGGGGGAGGGAGGAGAGGTAGGGCAGCAAAAGCAAAAAACGGTAGAAGGAGATATGGCAATTCAAAACAAAAATCCGTCGAAGAAGCAATCTATAGGTGAAGCTAAAGCTATCACAAGATGTACCACAAGAACATCCACAAAACACGCCGGCAGGCCAGCTAAGACCCATCAAAACTGGGTTGTCTCAGACAGTGATGGCTGCTGGGGGCCATAGCAGCACATGTCAGTGGGACAGTCGTTCTGGTGCAGCCGCTTGCTTTCCTGCAAGGAGACCATAGGAGAGCGACAAATCTGATCAGCTTTCCTCGTTCCTACCATTCTATGTCTATGATTTTATGTGTGTATATATATATATACACGTATATGTAAGGCATATATTATTATGACTTGATGGGGAAGCCAGAGCTTGCCGCAGCTTGCACATTCTTGAAGGTTGTTTTAGCGTATGTTACATTTTGACACATTGAGTGTCCAGCAATGTCCAACGGCTATCGCTCGCCCGGGCCAGATGGGCCATGAACCTTCGACTGCCATGGTGCCCGGAAGTTGCTGGCCCTCCTGTGATGCCCGGCTGAGCCTTGCGGCAGCTTCCCGGTTGAAGGCTGGGAAGGTTGTGCTGGTCATGTGGAATGGAATTGCTTCAAACATGAGAAGATGTAATAAGATCTTTGCTCAAAAGATTGTACATTGAATTGAAAAATGTCACAGACATACACGCGCGTACATGTATATATGCACACTCACACGCAAGTAAACTGAATGGCAAACGCAAACATACTTGCACAATAGAAGGCAACACAGAAAAACACTAGACACGTGACATGACAGAACACAACAGAACACAACGGAACACAACGGAACACAACAGAACACAACATCAAAATTACACTGCGTGACATCAACATCGCATTACACCACATTGCGTATGTGCATACACTTGTATGTGGCCAGGACCCAATCGACAATTTTGCAGATGTCAACCGGACAGTTGGAGCGTTACTCCACATGTTGCAGGCCTTTGGTGATCAAAGCTGGATCCAAAGGCATGGTCCGCTGCGCCAATCTGAGAAGCCATACGTGCAAAAGCACTTGGTTGCCCTACAGGCGGGACACGCTGGACGGGGCCCTATGCGGGTCCAAGTGGATTGGACGCCATTTTTTGTGGCGGGCGGTTTTGAATTTACGTTTCTTTGCATCCCACTTCTGAAACACAAGCCTTGGGCACCTAAAGCAAAAAGGCTGCAATAGGCTGCATGGCCCTCCCCTGGACCTTGCGCCACGTACGGATAGATATTCCATGATATTCCACCATGGGTAACCAATGGAAATGAAGATATCCAAATGAAAGGAACGCTTTAAGGGTTTCCAAACCATCAAATAGGAAATCAACGATGAATGCCAAGAACCATGACCGCACAATTTTTTTTGGACTATTTATATCTATTTATCATATGTTCCCATCTTTCCATCTACAGGCAAGGGTGATCTTGATGTGGGACAGCCTCAGCCACATGACATGCTTGATCACATTTAAGTCTAATCCATGACGTAGATGGTGACATGGTGATCGATCTCAAGGTCCTTGCAAGGAGTTTTAATTGCGAAAGCCGTGCATGTTATGTTGGAAACCCTCGCGAAAGTTTTTTTTTCGAGTTCGCGAAATGTAACATTTTTCCGGCCATTGGATGTGCGGTATTCGTGTGACAATGTATGACATGTTCTTAATTGTAGCCTGCCTTAGCAGCCTTGGCATGTTGCAACATACATCAACACAATGACGATACTAATCGAGGGAAGTTTAGAAGTCAAACTTCCGACAATATGGACAGATGGGAAAGCAGAGGTGGGAAGAGTCAGAGAAGAGAAGAGAAGAGAAGAAGAAAGAAGATCAGAGCAGAGAAAGAGCCAGAGGAAAGAAGATGCAGGTGCGCAAAAGGTAGAAAAGTCGCGATTCACTGTGTTTTTCCAATGATTTGTGGCTCCGAAGGGTTGAAAAGTAGGCTCGCTAAAGCGGCGGTTGCGGAGCCATCTGGCCAGTGGCCAGATGAGAGATGAAAGTGGGACGCCGTTGAAGTGCGATGCAAATTTCGAATTCAAAATGTACAAAACACGGCAGGTTCCGAGCACTTTTGGAAGTTGAGATGTCGAAAAAGTGCATGCTGTTGTGGCGCGAAGCACATTTCCAAGTCAAAATATACAAAACACCTCAGTGCCGGACCACTTTTCAAAGTTGACACGTCGAAAAAGTGTACGCCGTTGTGGCGCGAAGCACATTTCGAAGTCAAAAGCGCAGAAAACTGACGGGTACGGAGCACTTTTTGGACGTTCAGATGTCGTTTCGCGTGGCAGGCGCAAGGGATTGTGCACGGACATCTGACGAGGATCCGTAAAGATGCATCTCGCGTGGAAGGTGCAGTACAAGAGACATACCTATCAGACATGTTAAGAGGTCAGGGCGCCGATTTCCTGCAAAGGGTTGTGTTTGGAGCATCATGGAGCATCAGGTTTTGAGGTTTCCTGAAGTGATTTTGCATGACAGGTGCATGTGACCTGGCATCACATTTTCGTGGCAGGCGCGGCATTTCAGACACATGGAGTGGAAAAAAACGCAAAACTCATTGGTACGAGGCCGTCAGCTCTGCACAACTGTTTTGATGGAAGTCTCGCAGAATTGCTTCGTTTTTGATGTTGTCAACTTGAAAAAAATTGGCAGATAGACAGATAGATAGACAGACAGACAGATAGATAGATAGATAGACAACTACAACTACAACTGCAACTACAACTACACTACACTACACTACGCTGCACTAACTGCAACTACAGCTACAACTACAACTACAATATTTTACGCTACACTTCACTACACTCCACTCCACTACACTACACTACACTCCACTACACTACACTACACTACATCACACAACACTACAGCACACTACACTACACTACATGTCATTTCACTGCACTGATGTCACCACACCACAACTACAACTACAACTATGCTACAACTACAGCTGCACTACAACGCACTACATCCAGCATTTGTGGGTAAGGTGACCACTGCAACCAGTGCAAGCACTCCAAAAAGCACAACTCCAACCACCTTTCCGTCCATCAGTGGATTCGCTCTGCCATCCATGCATCACAACAAGTCACCCCTCCTATAGTATCCTATATTGAAACTTCCGCCACCGCCTTGCGCGGTACTACCGGTATCATACATTGACCTGTTCATAGCTCACTTCAACTGATGTTGATGCTATTTGGTGACCTCCTTTGGTTTACCTTGACATCCGCTGGCATCTGCACAGTTTCCGACATGTTAGGCTGGGCGCCTTGCCCACCTCAAGCGCTGGGCCTGCGCCCTGACCTCCACGCTCTTCACCTGGCTGCGCCGTGCCAGCGAAGCCACGGAGGGCCCACAGGGCCGACAGGGCCGACGGAGAAGGTATCCAGCCATTCCGGGAGAGGAACGTCCAAGGCTTGGAGATGTGTCACGTATATGTCACGTTACCCTCTGGTAATCAAACACGGCTGGAAAATCATCTGGAAATTCATGTTTTTTTTTTAAATGGGACAATCATCTATAAACGGGAAATTGTCCTTTGCCCCGTTAGATTACCGGATTGTTATTTTTATTGAATGTGTCACATGATGTCACAACTGGCAGAAAACACGGGCTCATGATGTCCTAGTGTTTCTCTAATATACCAGCAATTGGGTTCACCGAATGCATCCAGAAAAATCACAACTATTCACAACTGTGATTCTAACAGGTTCACGTTGAAAATGTTTAGACATGGCATGCGCTTCATTCCACCTCTTTTCCAACAAGGTTTGGACCTGAGTCCAGTCTGAAACCCAGAGAAGGGGATGGGTCTTGGGCCCCTGTCCCAGGTCTAGACACATCCATTGTTGGAGAAGCCGGTACTCGCTACCGTATTCTACGCATACCAAGGGAGGGAGAGAGATTTTCAAGATTTTTGAAGAAAGAAACATGCCCACATGTCCTGCTGTTATTGCAGACAAGGCTGAGAAGCGAAAATGGCGCAAGGAGCAAAGGTGGCAAAAAAGGGGGTGACATTTCTTCGCTAACCAGCGTGTTAAATATCTCATACTCGTCACGAGGGCTCAGTACCACAACTGTTTGATTTCTGACGGTCACTGAGATTGAAAGCTATGGAAGGTGTGCCATTCGTAGATGCTTTCGCACATTTCACATTGCATAGGTTTCTACTCATATCCCCATAGCAGGTATTAGTGCTTCTGAACATCCTATGGCGTTGGGATCAACGCGTTCCATTCTCCCATGGTGTCAAAAGCTGCCCAGGTGGTTGCAGAAAAAGGAACGGCGAAGATCGCAGAGGCGTCTGAACATGCCAGAACTTTCACGCCAGAATAGATGGGATTTGGGAGTTGTTTTGGCTACCCACCTTGGGATGGTCAAAGCCTATTCCAAACATTTCACGCATGTGAACATGGCTAGCTGGTTGCTGAATTTTGACTTTAATCCGGAAAAAAGAACGCCTCATCATTGTCTTCCTGCGCGCTAGTGTCTGCATTTTTCTTGATGTTGCCATACGTTGCCATCGCCCAATTTTTGTACTTGTACTAAGCAGTTGCTGCCAGTTGCTGCTAATGGTATTCGAAGAAGCGGGCTGTGAGAGTTTTCGTGGTAGTGTCCTTGGTTTGTTTGCAGATCCTGTCTGCTCCTGATTGTTGTTGTTCTTCTTCTTCTTCGGTAGTGCTGTCGAGTGGTTTGTGTTGCTGACTTTTTGTTTCGTCTCGTGAGGGGGTTGCTCATATCACAAATATATATGTATGTATGTATGTATGTATATTATATTATATTATATTATATTATATTATATATATTGTATATATATATTATCACACTAATCAGTTCCAAATGAATACAGAATACTCTGTACTGTATATAATTAATACATTATGATACTATAGACTATATATATATATTATATATTTATATTTAACACTAATTGCTACTGACTCTATGGCTATCCTCTGCAGCCAAGGGCTTCTTTGTGTCCTTAGACTTTGTGTTTACTGAAGCTCAGGCTTAGGCAGCTGGATTGTGTGTCCCAGAAACAGAAGGCTCAGCCAACCAGGATTGGGTTAAGACCCGTCTATATTCAAGATATTCAGACATCATCAAGTTGAGTCAGAAAATGGCGGTTTGGGAAGTTTGGGAGGTCCATGGAGGTCCCTATTTCTTGCACCCGAAATAGTAGGCTGTATCCCCATATTTGGGTACAGCCTCATGATTTTTGCTGCGATCGTACAGCAAACTAAAGGGCTGCCGAGCGACAACGAGCTGCTCGACGGAAGAAGGCAGCACTGCAGGACAGCTGGGAGTTGAAGCTCATTTAATGGGATATGATGATATGATCTATGATGATTTATGATGATTTATGAGTGTGATATGAGGGGATGATCATGATGATTCGGAGGAAACCGAGGGAGTATAAGATGACAATGGTTGAGGGTATGCCCTGGGCCCTGGCCTACCGTTTAAAATCGATGATTGGAACTTGGAAGCGTCACCGCCGTTGCACCACCGAAAAACCGGATGATTGGCGGGAGTACACGAACAAAACTGGATAATCGTAGCGAAAGAACACCTTCACAATGACGCTAATGTTGTCTAACCAATAGTGATATCTTGTCAATAGTAGAAACATTTTTCCGCAACTCCAATTTTTCTCCAATACTAAAAGTCAATTAGCTCCATTTACTTTTAGTAATGCCAAAAGAGTCATGTTCAGACCTTGTCCAGAGGGCATGGCCAATAGTGGACCCAACATGGCAATAGTGGAAACGTTTTCCCAATTCCAATTTTTTCTCCAATACTAAAAGTCAATTAGCTCCATTTACTTTTAGTATTGCCAAAAGAGTCAAGTAAAGCAAATCCTTTTCAAAGCAGCCTTCACTTTTGATTAGCAAAAGCTTAGATTCCAGAAATCTGATCCAATTACCAAACAGCTGATTTCCTTATAAAACCCTTATAAAAAAAAAGCAAGAAAACAGGTCCACAAAAAATACCCCCTTTGCAAGCCCCAGAATAGCGATAACAAGCCTGCAACCAGGCATGGCAATAGTGGAAACTTTTTTCCGCAACTCCAATTTTGTTGTCCTCCTTCTCCTTCTCCTTCTCCTTCTCCTTCTTCTCCTCCTCCTCGTCCTCCTCCTTCGCCTCCATCCCAGCCATAAGGTTCCAAAAATTTACTGTTGGAATGCTGACCCCCCCCGACTTTTTTTAAAAAAATATTTTATTTAGGGGGGGGGTTACTATCAGGCAGCATACATTACTTGCATTGGATGGCCATGACCTGTAAGGGTGCCCCACAGGTTGGCGATCATAGGGTCAAAGCTGCTGGGTGATCCATGCTGCGCACCAAAGGAGAAGTTGGCCGACAAGAGTGAAGAAGAGCGAAAGGCCTACTGGGAAGAACAACAAAGATTAAAGGCGCTGCAGGGTGTTGCCCATGTCGCCGACTAATTTCAAAGGCATCATAAAGCATCCAAAGTGGCATTCACAGGTCATCTCGGTGATTTCATGGACCATGGACCCAAATTGACCATCATCGACCCCAATACTCCAATATAAACTCCAAGGATCTCGACTTCAGTCAGGTGGCAAGGGAGCAATCAGTGCGGCAAGCCTTTGCACATGGTAACCCCAAGGTGGTGATCAATTGCGTTTCGCTCAGCATGGAAACGTTAGTTGAAAAGATGTAGCCAGGATGTAGCCGGGCATATGCCGGGCATGTTTGGCTTTTCAGCCGAGCAAGATAAGATACTGTAAGATAAGGAAGCACTGGAGATTCGATTTGCCCTGGTTTGGGGCATGGGGCTGAGGTAGCTTTGGCGATCTCATGCCTGCTCGGGATAACAAGTCCTTAGCCTCCCAGGTCGGAAATTCTGGGGTAAATCTGGTAGAAACAGCATCTTTCTCTGACCCTGCGCATGGATCATTTCACAGAGCCTGCACAATGGCAGGTGAAGCTGGCCTACGCGTTTCTGAAGCGAAGCATGGCTCACGTGCAGCCCGTGGCTAAGTTTTGTTGCGCAACAGCCACTGGTACGTGTTGCATGATCTTGCTTCCAAGTTCAGAATAAGTCAGAATCCATCACTCAAGTGGAGCCTCACATGATCAAGTGAGCAGGGAAACTTCCGTGTTACTGGACATTAAATATCACAGCAAACCACTACCTTGCACGAAAGCTTGGATTTCACGTTGCAAGCTTCTTTGTTTGACGGAAGCCTCGTCCTTTGCTGTTTGGCACCGCGGTGGTTGCACACACTGGTGGTTGCCTATGGGGCCTAACGAAGTTGTTGCGTCAATGCACCTGATCCTTGTGGCCAGGCATGTACTTCCATTGTTTGGAAACTGTATGCAACTCTGTTTTGCAAATCGCAGTTGTCAATGCTTCTGCGCGTTGCAGCCGCGCACAAAGTTCCATCTTCTACGTTCCATGGTGTTGGAACATGTTGGAACTCTGTGCAACTCGTAATGGAGTGGCAACGCTGAGGCGCGTTCGCCCTGTAGGTCCTTATCGGAATTCCTGCCCCCTGTTTGCCATTGCTTCGAGTTATTTTTGTTTCATCACCTGCTTGACTTCTTCGGGTGCTCCAGGTTGCACGTGACATCCTTGGAAGATACCAACCCTGCTCTGCCATACTTCAAGGCCTTGGCGTGTCAAACATGAAAGATCATGACAGATCAACACACAATTTTAAATATATAGTTTTAATACCATCTAGTGAGCAGTTTATGGAATACAAATTTCCAAGATTTTCCACCTGTTCATTTTGCAAAATCACATGTTCCGACGTGTACATACACCCACGCACCAAAGTCACCACGGAACCGCAGGCAGTGGGCATGGATGGATGGCAGGTCCACGTGCACAAAGAGAGCGTGTGGGACCTGTACAGGCGAAGCGCGATGTGACCCCGATGTGACACAGCCGTGGGACTCAAATGTTGGATAAGTTGATGAAATTTTGAAAGGTCAGGATTTGGAAATATTTGGAATGTGTTCGAACACACTGACGGAATTGAAATAGTGCGTCTCGTCATAGTTTGATCTCGCATCAGCTTTTGGTTGCTCAACACATGTCCCGCCACGAAACCAGGACAGAAGATCTCGTGGTGAGGGCGCCCACAATTCTGCACTATTGTGCTCGCATTGTTGAGCAGCTTCCAACTAACAAATGATCCTCCAACTCAGATGAATTGGAATGAATTGGAGGACCATGGAGGCTCCACTTTTGAAATTCAATTGTCGTTCCTTCATGTGGGAATGCATTGAATATAATAAATATAAATAAATATATTTTGAATATAGTCTGAATATACACTGTAAAAAGAAGTGGGTTTGGAAGATGATAGTTTACTATGTTTGCCATGACCTTCGTTCCATCTGAAATCTTTGAGGCCGCCCAGCATGGCCCAGCATGGCCCCACAAAGTTCCAGGTTCTATCACCAGATGCAGATGAAGACTTGGATCAAGTGGAGGTGAAGCGGCCGAAGCAATGTATGTTTGTTTGCCTTATGGGTGTATATTCTTCCCCACGGGAAACCGGAAAGCATTTGGGAACATTTGCGAACCAGGAAAAGGATGGACAAGGGAATTTCACGGATTCTCATCTGATCATTTGTGCCAATTTGAGCGCCATGATATTTCAAGGATTCTTATGGCATTTGATGGTTAAGGAGGATAAGATCTATGTGATCGGCGGCTTGGTGGACCGAAGGCCGCAAAAGAAAAGGCCCGAAGCACTCGAATCACCGATGATGACAATGGTGAAAACATGTTACAGAGTTTGCCTCATGTCTGGGGGGCGGTTGTGTTTTTCTCCAATTTTTCTTTGAAACATCGAAGCCAAAAATGGGACGTTGTCATTTTGGTTTTGGCCATCTTGCCTCTTTGAAAACATGCTGTGAGACAAACGAAGTCAGGACAAACGCAGCAAGCTTAACGAATTGAAGTTGCCCTCACTCCACTTCATCAAGCATGAAATTGAATGGGTGTTCTGCCGTCTCCTTGGATACTGTAGGCGATCAAAGTCGTATAGACATTCATATCATCAACCAGCCTGGTGATTTCCGGTAGTTGAACGATGCTTTTAGGAAGTAATTAAGTAACATTAAGTACTTGTACGCGAACACACACACACACACACACTATATATATAATATAACTATATAACACATATTTATGTATTACATAAAAATGTATGTTATATATATAGTTATATATATATATTACGTATTATGTATATATATATTATAAATAATATTATATATATAATATTTTTTAATATTTATATATCAACATAACATAGTTTTTTGATATAATATATATATATATTAAATAATATATATATATATGATTATATATGTATTATATATATATTGTTTAATATTTTTAGTATTTATTATATATATTATATATTTAATATAATATAGAATAGATAATATATAATAAATAATAAATATAATATATCATATACATAAAATATATTTTATAAAATAATATATTATATATATAATAAATATAATTTATAATATAATATTTAGTATATATATAATATAATTTTTACAACATATATAATATATAAAATACAATATATGTAGAATACATTGTAAATATAACGCCTTTAATATTTATAACATATATAATATATTTTATAATTATTTAATATACAATATATAATATATTATATTTATCGTATAAATAATATATAAAATATTGAATATAATATATATATATTATATTATATATATATTATATATACGATATATATAATATTATATATATATATATTACATATAATAATGCATATATATGTGTGTGTGCGTGTTTTTTTAATTTATATATTATATTTAATATATAATATATATATAAATAAAGCATTTTTTCTATATGTATATATTGTTTATTTTGTATATATGTATATATGTTTTTTATTATTATCACATATATATATTAACTATTCTTTATCACAATATTTTCTATAGTATACATATTTTCATATATTTTTCAATGTTTTTATATAATATTTTTTTAATTTGGTATATTATTTGTTTCATTTTATATATCTTATAGTTTTTATTTACTATATATTATTACAGAAGGGGTACCCATGGGGGGCGCAGGTGTGCAAATTGTAGAAACGCGCATTTTTTGAGAGGTACTGTGATGAAAGCATCTTCACATGAAAAACATACAAAAAAACAATGGAAAAACCAAAAAAAACAAAAAAAACAAAAAGTTCAGACCCATGTCCCCTGCCAGCCATCTCCCCAGACCTTGCCCATGGGTCTGAACTTTTTAGTTTTTTTGGTTTTTTTGGTTTTCTCGAGGTTTTGGCCAAACTGCAAAAAACCATGGAAAAACCAAAAAAAACAAAAAAAACAAAAAGTTCAGACCCATGTCCCCTGCCAGGCCTCTCCCCAGACCTTGCCCATGGGTCTGAACTTTTTGTTTTTTTTGTTTTTTTTGGTTTTCTCGAGGTTTTGGCCAAACTGCAAAAAACCATGGAAAAACCAAAAAAAACAAAAAAACCAAAAAGTTCAGACCCATGTCCCCTGCCAGGCCTCTCCCCAGACCTTGCCCATGGGTCTGAACTTTTTGGTTTTTTTGGTTTTCTCGAGGTTTTGGCCAAACTGCAAAAAACCATGGAAAAACCAAAAAAAACAAAAAGTTCAGACCCATGTCCCCTGCCAGGCCTCTCCCCAGACCTTGCCCATGGGTCTGAACTTTTTGTTTTTTTTTGTTTTTTTTGGTTTTCTCGAGGTTTTGGCCAAACTGCAAAAAACCATGGAAAAACCAAAAAAACAAAAAAAACAAAAAGTTCAGACCCATGTCCCCTGCCAGGCCTCTCCCCAGACCTTGCCCATGGGTCTGAACTTTTTGTTTTTTTTGGTTTTTCCATTTTTTTTTGTTTTTCATGTGAAGATGCTTTCATCACAGTACCTCTCAAAAAAATGCGCGTCTCTACAATTTGCACACTTGCGCTCCCCAGGCCAAACTGCAAAAAAAACATGGAAAACCAAACTTTATTTAATGACTTATATCATGACTAATACAATGATTATATATATAATGATTTATTTTAAAAATAATATCATGGTTCATAAAATGACTAATATAATGATCAATGTAATATCATTGTTATTAATAAAATGATTATTATAATGATTCATATAATGATAAATATAATGATTTATGTAATGGCTGATATAATTTTGAATTTATTGACTAATATAATGATAAATAACATGATTCATAGAATGATGAATATTTTTAATGATTCTTTTACTGACTTATATAATGACTAATATAATGATTAATATACTGATTAATATCATGATTAATATCATGATTCATATAATGATAAATATAATGATTTATCTAATGAGTCATTTAATGACTTATATAATGACTAATATAATGATTACTATAATGATTAATGTGATGATTAATAAAATGATTAATTTCATGATTAAAATAGTTGTGATTTTGATGATTGATGTAATGATTAAATTAATGGTTTATATAATGATTTATATAATGATTAATTTACTGAATATATAAATGAAAACAATGCGTAATGTAATGATTAATTTTATGATTAATATAATGTTGAATATATAGTGTTTAATGAAATGATTAAAATAATGACTATTATAATGATGAACATAATACTTTATATTATGATTAATTTAATGACTTAAAAAATGACTAATATCATGATAATATTTATATAATAATTGATTGAATGATTAATGAAATGATTAATATGGTGATTAATATAATATAATGGTGATTTCAATGATTGATATAATGATTAATTTCATGGTTATTATCATGATTAATTTAATGATTAATGTAACAATAAATAAAATGGCTATTATAATGACTAATATAATTATTATATATGTATTTTTCATGATTAATAACATGATTAATATAATGATTAATTTAATGACAAATACAATGACTAGTATAATGAATATTAAAATGATTAGTACAATGACTAATATAATGACTAATATGATTCATATCATGATGAATAAAATGATGAATACCATGACTAGTAAAAAGATTAATTCAATGACTAGTATAATGAATAGTATAATGATTAATCTGAATGACTAATATAATGGTTAATAAAATGACTAATATAATGATTTTTAATATGACTAAAATAATGATTATACATATGATGATTCATTTAATGGTTAATTTAATGGGTAGTATAATTTTCGGTACAATGACTTAAATAATGATTCATTTCATGATAAATATAATGATTCATTTCATGATTCATTTAATGACTAATAAAATGATTAATATAATGATTTATGTAATGGCTGATATTATTTTTTTTCATTTACCGACTAATATAACGAATAATATCATGATTAATGAATGATAAATAGAATGATATAATTGGTTCATAGAATGATAACTATAGTGATTAAGTTGAATGATTCTTTAAATGGTTTATAAAGTGACTATTATAATGTTTTTACATACATTTAATACTTAATATAATGATTAATATCATGAGTCCTATCATGATATATATCATGATTAATCTAATGATTCATTTCATGACTTATATAATGAATATTACAATGATTAATATTATGATTAATGTAATGACTGATATAATTCTGAATTTAGTGACTAATATAACAAAATCAGGACTTTCACAACCTCGCCCCCCATGACTACCCGCTCTCTATTATTATTTGTTCTCTTATTTAGTATATATGATGTTCATAGTATATACATTAAATATATACTGTATTTATAATGATATGTTTTATATATATTATATTATATATATTATATTATATGTATTATATATACTATATTTATATTGTATATATATATTATATATATTATATAATATTTGTTTTATATATATTATATATATATATGAAATATGTTATATATATTAAATATATTGTATATTATATATGTAATAAATATAATATATTATATATATGCATTAAATATAATATATTGTATATTAAATATATTATATCTATTTTATATTATATATATATATTATATTATATGTTATATATATATATTATTTTTCAATATTATATGTAGATATATGTGTGTGTGTCTTACTGATATCACATATGATCACCCAGGTTTGGACACTCTCGGAGAAAGATGGTTTCCATCAGCTGACAGGAGCCGCACGCAAGCAGAAGCGCAAGGTGGAGTTCTGCCCTGCGGCCATTTGCCCTCAGTTTATGAAATGTACAGCAAATTTGTTTATGAAATTTCTTTATGACATGTCTATGAAATGTTCAAAGGCTAAGACAACAAACTCGTGGGCCCATCATTGTGCCGTCATCAGTGTTTGGCGTCTCTCTTCATGCAGTACACTTTGGAGGGCTACATTCTTTTGCCATGGACTTCACGGTGGTGCAATTGGCAAAGATTTTGTGGGCAATGCAATCGTCAATGTCTAATGTCCTGGTGGTTGTCACTGGTTGTTCTGGCATGTTATTAGGGACGGACATTCTTTGACATTCCAACTCCAACATTCCCTACTTTTTGAATTCAGGGTGTTGTTGAAACATCTAAAGTCTGGGCGTTTGACCATCTCAGAGTTGGTTCAGGTTGGGATCTGCTTTGAATTGATCAGGTGGCTCAATTCAGTTGAGAAAGCTTCCGCTGAAGCGGTTTGCTCCTAAAGGCCAGGAACGTTGTCGGACTGCGTTTCTTTCAATAATTTCATCAGTAGTTGATACGTGGTAACATGACTGTAGAGTTAACATTAATTCTGATCTCCCATTCCTGTCATGCAACTCATTTTCTGATAGTCTTGACGCAAGATGCAAGGTTCCTTCTCAGGATGTGCTCCGTTCGTTTCAAAATGACCCATCTTCACTGAATATATAGTACTGTACAGTAACACCCCCCCCCCGGCAACAGACGAGGGTCAGTAACCCTTTCAAAGGATGCAATCATGCGCAGTGACTTTTTTCTAGCATGGTCAAGAAAGTCCAGCATTCTATTGTATATATATATATATATACTTATACATGACTATATTTATAATTCAATACAATGATGCAGCCTTCCATTTCTTTAACCAGCACCATTCAGTCATAAGCTGCAGTCTTCCCGTCAGGCAATATGGTGGTTGTTTCCAGAAGCAGTATCTCTACATGTTTGAAAACTTCTCCAAATCCTCTAATGATGCAGCATTCCCTTTTGAAGAAGTGCAATCTTTCTGTCCAAATCTGTATGTAAGGTCCTTATTTCAACTACTGGGACCGGGACCCGTCGTTCAAGGCATTTTTTCCCTACAAGCTGCATTTTTTTCCATACATTCCGCTTCTCTGTTTGTTTTTGAAACGGCAATTGCTTCTTCAAAAAACCTTCACCTCTTTGAGGGATCTATATATATAATTATATACATACATCTCTTCTATACAGTGTTTCACTCATGTTTCCTGTCACCTCTTCAGAAGGGAGTAATGCATAATTTTATAAATTGGTTCTAAGTTTGAAGCAGAGATCCATTGTCAAAATGTACAAAGCGACGGCGCACTCTCTCGAAGAACATATTGCACACACTGGAACGTCAAGGAAGGCCATATCTAGAAAAGAGTACTGCATATGCCAAAGATGTTGTTTTGAAATAGTGCTTGTCCTTCCAAAGAAATGCTGCAGTCTTGTCAAGGGCTGCACAAAGTGAGGCCACAGCGGCCACAGCACTTTTACAAAAGTATTAGTGCAGGGGGCATTGTTAAAAATGTCTATATAGTGATTATAACATGCATAGTTACATGTATGCATAAAACATTGCATATATATATATATATATACATATGTATACGTGTGTGTGTGTGTCTTTGTGGGGATGCATTTGTGATTATATATATATATAATATGCTTGTATGTGCATATGTATTCGAGGATTCTGAGGATTCTGCTCAGAACGAAGTCCATGTCGTCCATGCCTCGAGCCTTGCCTGACGCTTGGACCCCTGGAGAAATACGACGATTTCCGATGCTCCGACAGAAATATGAATAAAAGAAGGGCTGCAGGGTCTAGAATTACAGTATTTTGATGTATTTTGTTGTTCTTTCAGGGATTTTATCCATGTCATATTCATGCTGTTTGCACTTTCTGCTGCAAAATCCATCAGAGTGCAACAACCGGCGTTGTTTTCATCTTGTAATCATGGCGCTGGTGCAGCACTACTAGTGAGCTAGCAGAAATGGACCTGAGCCATGCTGAGCCCACATTGTAGAAACCTGGATAGTGCGCCCTTAGTCGCCCAAAGTGCCCCTGCCACTGAAAAGCGCGTTTGATGAAATCAGTCACATGATGTCACATGTAAGCTCAGCCCTCAAAAAACAAGAACACACCAGGATCCGGCTTGGTGGGTCTCAGCATTTGGGCCACAAAGGTGTAAGTTTTGGGGATCAGTTCCAAGGAGACTTGTGGCTGCTGCAAACAATTGTGCACATGGACAGGAAGCTATCCAATCCTGAATATTGCACGGGCCTTGGGTGATTTGGGTGAAGGTCAGGTTGATCGCAGGTCGATCCAACGAAATCACGGAGGTTTGTGTCCCCCGTCCCAAATGACTCACTGACTCACCAGTAGCTGCAGGGCTGGTGCAACGGTGGGTTAAGTAAGCAATCGTCGCCAAGGATGTGGTCGTGAAGATACTGGCTCAAAGAAAGCTGCGCAGAGGCGAGGAAAAGCACCACGGGCAAAGGTGAGAATTCAGCACCCGCAAAGTTTGGAAAATGAGTTTGAGACATTTTGAGACTACCTAATTAATTCAGCCAATGCCGCCTTGTCGGCCTTTGTGATTTGTGGGCCTCACATTGCGCTTCATGGATCTGCATGGCACTTCATGGCACATTGTGTCACGCCGAAGCTTCTCTCGTTTCAACAGTGTATCTGTGTTCCCAGTCGTGAGACCCGAGCACTCAATAAGGCTCGTGCCTGACACTGCTACAATGTCACGTGCTTCAATACCGATTTGGGCGCAATGTAATGGAGGAATTGGCTTTGCAGAGATGGGAGCCGCGAAAGGGAGTCCATGTGTCAACTTGCAGGTGAACATCAGTATTCCAATCAAAGACCTGCTCCAAGCTTTGACCCTTTCCATATCGCGTGTTTCTGGATCCTCCATGGCATGGGCCGCCCAGCCAGCACCTCCCACGAGGACTGTTGCACCCGTCGTTCCAGGTGAGCAGCGCAGAGCGCTTGCAACCGTTCCTGCTCAGCAAGCAGCAAGGGCAATCCCAGTGGCTGGGGTTTGGGAAGATGTCCCATCTAGATCATCCACTGATGGATCTGGCGACTGTAGTGGTCAATCCAGTCAACGCGACGGCCCATCCGGCGACCTCTCTAGCGAGGGCTCATACTTGGTGAGAGTGTCGAACATTCCCAGGGCCCTTGCACCTTCCCAACTCAAAAGAAGCTTCGAACAGAATGTCGGACCAGTGCTTGAGTGTGCTATTGATCAAGGTGTGGCTAGCCTCTACTTCGCCAGTGAAGCCCATGCCATGAAAGCCGTGGCAGATTATGATGGTGGAATTATTGAACTTGCAGCCACAGAATGTACAGGTATAGATGATGACTTTGGAGCAAGCAAGGAGCAAATTGAAGTCAGTTTGAAGGATAACTCATGCTGCCAGAGCTACCTAGAAGATCACATGGGTCCGCTTTCAAGATGCTCCGTGCGGAGAGGAAGGGGATGGATCACCATTTTCCGTAGTGGTCTGGGCCCACAGTTGAAGAGGGACAAGATTGATGGCAGAAGCTCTACTCAAAAAGGCTTCAAGGCCTGCTTCATTTCAGTGTACCATGGCTACTGGCAGAGAGTCATCGATGACTTCATGCAGGGTGGCTCAGTGGACCTTTGAGATCCCAGGCGATACTGAGGAGACCGCTGCAATCCTAAGCCTATCCGACTGAATGAAGCGTTAATTAAGGATTTTAAGTGATTGAAGTTTGTTTCACAAGGATGCACAGGGTGGTAGCGGTTAGTAGCGGTAGTGTGGATAGCCACCAGAAAAATGGCCGCTGCATTTCATTGCTGTCCTTGAGTTGTTTGAACTGTTGGGATCTTTTGGGGTATTTCATGTCCGCGACCTGCTCACAGGATGTAAGAGATGCCAGGACAGCTTCATGATACTTCATGGATTTCTATGGCCTGCATGACACATCAACGGGTTTTTGCACCCCTGCGAACATGTTGCGTTTCCCATTTTGGCAAACGATTTCAGCATACATGTTCTTACGTCTTCTGCAAGCGCTGCTCGCTCAAAGCTACAAAGGATTGATAGAAGCATTGCATGGCCGAAACTTACCCGGACTTGACCTATCAGAAATCCGGTCCACAAGAGTACATCAGCACGTCTTGAACAGCGATGCTCACTGGCAAAGGTACGCCATTGATATCCATTTGGAAAAGCAAGAAAGGTCAGACCTAATAGATTCGAATCACTTGCGGCTGACAATCGTCAGCAGCTGCAAATCTCAGGCGCGTCGCGCAGGACCTGGGTTCGAAGTTTGCTCCTTTGATCTCCTTTGTATTTGGAGTCAGTGCGCATTGAATTTGGGGTTCCATTGCTTGGGGGGGGCCTCCGGGCGGGTGCATTTTTGGGCCAGGCGCGTGCTGCTGATGACACCAAGCAGTGGCTTCCTGATTTTCTTGGTGTCCTCAGTAGCTGGAGCTGATGTGTCGGCACTGGTGGCGGAAGCTCAAGACTTGAACTTTGGCCATAGAGAAGCCACTCTCTCTTTATGGCCGACTCTTCTTCTTGGTGGTTTGGCAGGCCGTTTTGGATGAAAGATCTCGACAAGTCGGAATAACTATATACTTTGTGATCAGACAATGACAAAGTTTGCATAGACATCATAGACTTTTCATTACTTTTCCATTTGCTCATGACTTGTTAAGGATCTCTCGCTTGGAAGCCTCTGTCGGTCAGAAATTCGAAGGTGGACCTCGACAGTGGCAAGCCTTTTTGATGCCTTTCGGCGCCTTTTGGTTGTTTCAGCGGGGTTGACAACCACCATGTGACTATGTACTCCATATGTTCGTTTGCTGCAGTCATCTACTGTTATTTGATGCTGGGGTGTTTGCCAAAGGTGTTCCGTGCTACTGCACATTTTCAGGTTCATGACTTACTGTATTCGCTACCTGCCGCACATTTGTTGAAGTCAGTCAGGGCGGACAAGAGTGATCCATTTTTGTCCATGTTCATTTTCCATTGTATGTTTGCAGTCAGTCTTTCTGGGCAAATCAGAAGGGTAGCCATTCCAATTCCATGGAATGACGAGAGAAAAGCCACGATGGCAACTGAAATGAAATGAGACTAGCGCCAGGTCCTGACTTGATATCTTCACCACTTTACAGACGCTTGAGCAGCAGAGGCCAAGGCTTGTTTTCAGGCTTCAGTTTTGGCTTCGGCAAAGCAGATGATATTGAGAATATACAATAAGAATGAATGGTATTACTTCGCCATTATTTGCCTGTTCGGTCAGCTGTTTTTGGGTGCTTTGGCCTTTTGATTTATCTCTTCACCCAAGGACATTTGCAAGCCCTGACCAGTGAAGCCGAGAAGTTGTTTCCAGCTCCGCTTCAGCCCGAGAGCAATGATCGTTCCGAGCATTCCGAAGCTTCGCCTGCACCGTCTAATGAAGTCTTTCCAGTAACAGTTCCTCCTGCAGAAGCGGGCGAAGCAAGTGAAGCGGGTGAAGAGGGTGAAGCGATGGGAGAGGTGGAAGCAGAGATTTGGGGCGAGGAAGAAGAGGAAGAAGAGTTTACACCTGTGGATGTTGGTTGCAGTTGGACTCTGATTGGGTCCCTGTTCTTCACCATGGTGATGTTCTACTTCGTGAACTACCCAGACGACGACATCAAGAGATATACTTGGTCCATCATCAATACTACTCTGCCAACTAAAGCTGTGTTTGAGCAATATTTTGCCTTTTGTCCGCGTTGTTCACTACTCTGCGTATGTTCATAAGTCCCATACGTGGTTCTGTTCACATGTCCAAGTCCTTGTTGTCCATTTGCGCAAAAAGAATGCATATTTGCAGGAGTTTGTGACGTTGCTCAGTTCGTACTTCCCTTGGTCCATTCAAACATATTCAAACACCTTGTGGGATGTCGGCTCAGCTGGTGGGAAGCTGCATCGCTACATCACACATTGGGTTAGCAGGACATGTGAGGACCGGCCATCCAACACGTATTGGCCTCCTGGGCAACAGATTGATTTGGCTTGATGGCTTGATGCCACCAAATCCCTGATCTCTCTCTCTCTCCAGTAAACAGGCTTGAAAATTCATTGTCGTGCTCCTTCCTTTTGATACAGATCCATACCAGTCGTGTACTGCACAACCTTGTACAAGGTTGACATCTGGGTTGTCATGCGGTACAGAATCAGCTTGCGCACCTTGCGCCAGAAAGTATGAAAAGGCGTCGACGTAGATGAATCCTGTACACGTATGTACACGTTGCATTTGTTTACTTTCCTTCAGGTTCAACAACCTCCCTTTGCCTTGGTTTAATACCCACTTTCCTTTGGCCGGTTCAACTTGGTTCAACTTGCAGTACAATAAATTGACTTTAGGAGACCGTATATAGGCTCACCCGCTTTCCTAGCACTTTGAGTGCTATGGGCAACATCCGTTGAGCGGTGAATGATGACGATTACATGCGATTATTATGATTATATGTAGTTCAGCATAATCAAGAGCCGCACGCCTGCCTGCAATACCAGGTATATGATGGTACAACCCCCCTTGGAATTTCCTCTACAGAATGGTACTTGTTAACCCCCAAAACAGCTACCATTTTTACATAGATTTTTGGTGATATGTGTGTTCATATGGTCATGCACAACCATTCTATAGAGGCCTCACTTGGTTGCTTGAATCCGGCAGGAGTGCCATTCTATAGAGATGTTGGTTCAGCAAAATGCACCAGTTTTAGGGTTAGGCAGGACCATTCATTTTGGTATGGTATATGATTAATTATCTGATATTATATGAATGATGATATATGATATGTGCTGTAATTATTGTAAGCATGCTCCACGCGCATCATTCCCATTTTTCTCCTCTTTCTCATTGTCCTTGTTTCAGCACCGAGCCCGCCTTTCTCCTTTTTTACCATCCTTTTCCAACCCTCATTAGGCTCCTTTGTCACCGTGATTTTGGGCACCACTCCAAATTGCGTAGCACTTGAGATTCCAGTGTAATACGCTGTCATTTGTGTCAAGTCAGAGAGTGCCCACCATGTGCCGTGTTCAGTATTGTTCTTTCCCTTGCTCGTAAGTGAGGTCCATCTTCACAGCGGTGTTGACCTTTCAGGGAATTGATGATCTTGTCATGCATGTCGCTTGGGCAGCAAATCTCAGAAGGATTGGATTGTGGATGTCCAAGTTGAATGCAATGGCATCCACGACGGTGCAGACATGTCATTGTGATTTCTCAAGGGTTTTCAGTTGTTTTTTCCTTATCTATATATTTATATATATATAATATTTATATTTACATTTATTTATTTATTTATATTTAGTTGTTTCCATTTATTTGTGTTTATATATATTTATATCTAAATATATATATATATATATTTATATCTATATATATATATACATTTTTTTTGGCGCCCGCAGCATGCCACGGCAGGTTGCAGTGACTCCTGTTTTGGGCGCCTTCCCTTCTGGCTGGAGACAAATTGCAAGAGTTATGATAGGCTTCCAGGGCTGCATTTTCAGCATTCCTTGTCTGCTCGGGGCAGGGTGATACAACTGTTGCAAGAACCACTAGGATTCAGTCAGGTATATAATTATATAAATTATATATAGATTAGAGAATGTTATATAATTACTTATATTTATATACTATACACATAACATTACTTATGTGTGTATATATATGTGTGTGTGTGCGTGTGTGTTTGTGTGTGTGAAATACTATACTGTTTTTCCGCTAAGGCAGCCACATCTAGTAAATGAATCATTGTTGCAGCTCCCATGATCAATGTTTTCGTCAGTCTTGAGATGACGGGCGAATGTGTACCGCGACCCCCCGCAGGAAGAATGGAGTAGTAGGAACAGATTCACTGCCGAACACTCGGGTGAGCGGTTCCCATTCTGCGTTTCAAGAGCGCATTGGTCTCAAAAAAAAACAGGATGGCCAGATGTGCCACTTATTGTCGAGAATATATTGTACATAAGGCATACCGTAAACACGACCTCTCTCATAATACATGTGCTAACGGAAAAGATATAGACTACAGATATGTAGTGGCTCGGAGAAAAGTTGACGTCGAGAAGAAGCATCTCAGAGAAGAGATGGGAATTGGCTCAGGGAGGTGTTTTCCACTCCTTCATTGGTTCCTTCAGTCCTTCATTCCTTCAACCCTTTATTTCTTCATTCTTTCACTTGCTCAGTCGTTCATTCATTCGTTTGTTCTCCCTCAATCCCTCACTCACCACTTCATCCATTCATTCATTCACCCGCCACACGTTCTAAAACAATGATCTGACGTTTGCCAGCGGGCGATGTTTAACTTGTAACTCCAAAATGTGCTCGTGGGTAACTCCAAACAATGTGCCGGTCATATCCAAACAATGTTCGGGCACAAGCTTTCGCGCCGTAAACTCTTCGGGCATAATATTTAGTTTGTCAGGATCTGAAGAGTGCCTAATTCTGAAGAGTGCCTGGTTCTGATTTGTCTTGTGCGTGTAGCAGTGTAGGTAATTATTCATTTTTCTGGGCAAGATTAGAAGGATGCCTGATCCGGAAATTACTTGCAACGACTATTTTTTGATGATCGTCTGGACCAATGATACCCCACCCCACCCCCCTGTTCAACGTGTATGTGTGCCATTCTTGGACTGCAAGTGCCAGTGAACGTGAACATACCACCCCACCCCCACACCACACCACACCACCCCCTGTTCAACCTGTATGTTTGGCAGTGTATGTGCACCATTCTTGGTTTGCAAGTGCTGAATGTCAACATCCCCACCCCACCCGACCCCAACCTTTGTTTGGATCGAAAAGGTGCTCGAGTTGCAAGTGAGCTCTTTTGAGAGTCGCAAGTGATACCCTCCGCCTTTGCCAATGCCAAGCAAAATGCGCTGGAAGGACCCATGTTGTGTCCTTGTTCACCGGACAATTGCGGGTAACAGCTCTGCGCTATTCTGCGTTGCACACACAGCAGGTCGATGTGCTAATGCGCCTAGTGGACAGGCACCCGATCGCTGACTCATACCGCGTGGTGCGCCTCGATCTTGCTGAGCTTTTAGCATGGGAGGCCGACCTTGCAGTCAACCCATCATTCATCTCCTCTTGCATTTACTTTTTCATTCATCCGTTCATTCAGTAAAGAATGCGTTGATCTTTTCAAGCATTCAGATCATTCAGTCATTCTTTCATTCATTCAGCATATTCAGCCATGTAAAGTGGGCCGTTCAATGAAGGACGGAAATATCACTCAACGGCCCTTCCCTGTCTAATTTCCCACAATGGTTTTTAACGTTCGAAACTTTCACCTCGGCAGGCCAAAAATATCCCAAAATTATATTATATACGCCCGCATGCCGGCTGCAGTTTAGCTCGCCTGAGCTCAGGTTTTGTGATTTTTCTTGCGTGGTATGTTTTTGCACTTCTTGCTATTGCTCTTGCCTCTGGTATGTTCAAACAAGATGATGATGCTCAGAATGGCCGCTTGGAATTTGCGCGCAGTATCAAGTTTAGAGAGTGCATATTCCAGACGGTCGAATTTCAGTGACACTGGGTGTGGCGTGTTTGAGTTGTTGAAAACCTCCTGTGGGAACCGTTTTGTGGAAGCATGTCCACCAATTGTTTCCTGCAGGGGTGTGAACTGATTCACCACTTTACCCCGCATTTCAGATTGCGCCCCATTTTTCGCCAGCTGAAGTGCATGAATGATTGGTGATTTTGTGTTGCACCCAGGTAAGATGTGGGTGATCTCGGATTTCATGCGAGGAGATCATGGCACCACCATCAAACATTCTCAACTGGTGCAGGGTTGTCGCTCCAAGGGCATTGCCGCGGTAAATGGTGTGGAGGTGCTTTTTTCCCGAATGCGTAGCAAGGGTTCCCGTTTCACTCTGGGGGTCTGGGGGTTGAGGGTGTGTTCGCTCGACGTTGCGTTCGCGAGCGCAACCGTCCGCAACCGTTCGCAACCGTTCGCAACCGTCCGCGCGAGGACCGTATGGCCGTGCCTATGGGAAGTTCTGCAGAGGTGGTAATTTTTGGAGGTTTCAGACGTGTCGTTGCTTCGTTTCGCGTGGCAGGCGTGGCACTTCGTGACATTCAGACGTGTTCTGGAACGTGTCGAAAGTCGTTTTGCGTGGCAGGCGCAATACTTTTGCGACGTTTTCAGAAGATGTGTTGCAGTTTTCGTGGCAGGCGCAGCACTTTGGACGTGTCCATCGCCATTTTTCGTGGCAGGCGCAGCACTTTAGACGTGTCATGTTGCGTGTTTTTTGCAAATCGCATTGGCAGGGCTGCGTCAAGTGGCGACAAGGTGCAAATTCCGTGGCAGGCGTGGCATTTTCTGACATGTGCTGAAAATTGACGGAAGCCTCGCACGAAACATCGATTTTGAGGTTGCAAATTTTCACGTTCTAAGGAAAACTCGTAGGAAAACGTCGATTTTGAAGCTACAAAGTGTGAAAATTGGAGGAAGTCTCGCACGAAATGCTCGTTTTGGTGCTCCCACGTGTCTCGTCTCGAGTCTCTGGTTTCCCTGTGGCCTCGCCGTGTCTATGGGGGAAGCTGGAAAACATGTTCTTGCGGCATGTTTCAAACTATGAAAATTGGAGGAAGTCTCGTACGAAATGCTGATTTTTCTGCATCCACGTGTCTTGTCTCGAGTCTCTGGTTTTCCTGTGGCTTCGCCGTGTCTATGGGGGAAGCCGCAAAACCTCTCCTTTTCGAAGGTTTCCAAGCAGCTTGTCATGTCGTTTTGCGTGGCAGGCGTGGCACTTTGTGACATTCCAACGTGTTTGATAACGTGTCGAAAATGTCAAAATTGGAGGAAGTCTCGTACGAAATGCTCGTTTTTCTGCATCCACGTGTCTTGTCTCGAGTCTCTGGTTTTCCTGTGGCTTCGCCGTGTCTATGGGGGAAGCCGCAAAACCTCTCCTTTTCGAAGGTTTCCAAGCAGCTTGTCATGTCGTTTTGCGTGGCAGGCGTGGCACTTTGCGACATTCCAACGTGTTTGATAACGTGTCGAAAATGTCAAAATTGGAGGAAGTCTCGTACGAAATGCTCGTTTTTCTGCATCCACGTGTCTCGTCTCGAGTCGTTGGATTTCCTGTGGCGTCGCCGTGTCTATGGGGAAAGCTCCGCACTCCTCACTCCACACTTTACACTCCACACTCCTCACTTTACACTCCACACTCCACACTCTACACTCCACACTCCACACTCTACACTTTACACCCCACACTCCACACTTTTTACATTTTACACTCCACACTCTACACTCCACAAACTAGACTTTCCACTCCACACTCCACACTCTACACTTTACCCTCCACACTCCACACTCCACACTTTACACTTTACACTTTGCACTCCACACTCCACACTTTACACTCCACACTCCTCACTTTACACTCCACATTCCACACTCCACACTCCGCACTCTACACTTTACACTTTATTAAAACTCCTCACTCCTCCCTCCACACTCTACACTCCACATCCCCCACTCACACTCCACACTCTACACTTTCCACTCCCCACTCCACACTCCACACTCTACACGTTGCACTCCACACTCCACACTTTACACTCCACACTCCACACTTTACACTCCACACTCCACACTCCACACTTTACACTCCACACTCCACACTCAGCGCTCTACACTTTACACTTTAAACTCCTCACTCCTCACTCCTCACTCTCTACACTCTACACTCTACACTCCACACTCCTCACTTTACACTCCGCACTCCACACGCCACACTCCACACTCTACACTTTACACTCCACACTCCACAGTTTACACCCCACACTCCACACTCTACACTCCACACTCCTCACTTTACACTCCACACTCCACACTCTACACTTTACCCTCCACACTCCGCACTCCACACTCCACACTTTGCACTCCAGACTCTACACTTTACACTCCTCACTTTACACTCCACACTCCTCACTTTACACTCCACACTCCTCACTTTACACTCCACACTCCTCACTTTACACTCCACACTTCCCACTCCACACTCCACACTCCACACTCCACACCCCTCACTCCACACTCCACACTCTACACTTTCCACTCCACACTCCACACTCCACACTCTACACTTTACACTCCACACTCCGCACTTTACACTTTACACTCCTCACTCCACACTCGACACTCTACACTTTACACTCCACACTCTACACTTTACACTCTACACTTCACACTTTACATTTTACATTCTACATTCTACACTCCACACTCTACACTTTCCACTCCACACTCCGCACTCCGCACTCCACACTCCACACTTTACACTCCACACTCTACACTTTACACTTTACACTCCTCACTCCACACTTTACACTCCACACTCCTCACTTTACACTCCACACTCCACACTTTGCACTTTACACTCCTCACTCCTCACTCCACACTCTACACGCTACACTCCACACTCCACACTCTACACTTTACACTCCACACTCTACACTTTACACTTCGCATTCTACACTTTACACTCTACAGTCCCCACTCCACGCTTTACACTCCACACTCCACACTTTACACTCCACACTCCACACTTTACACTCCACACTTTACACTCCACACTGCAGACTGGTAACAGGGGAAATATGTACAAGACAGTTCAAATAAACTATTGCAGAAAAGTGTTGTGCGTGACTGCATATCCATGTGTTTTGACATCTGTACCATTAACATACGTGTGAGCATTCGGGTTCGTGGGCTTCATCTTGTTTTGGAGTGGGCGTTTGGCAAACCTAGAACAACGATGAACCCCAAAGGTGCACAGTTGATAAATTGCATGCCTTAAAATGTCCTTGCCTTAAAACATTTAAAACCTTGAGTTGTTTTGTTTTGTTTCTTTTCTTAAGTACGATTGAATGGCGCGGAGTCTGCCAAACTACGTCGGAAAATGGGGCCAACGAACAAAACAAGCGAAGTCTTGCTTCTTGCCGTTTGGAGGTATGCCTGAACATTTGACATGCAAGATCACCTATCTACTCATCCGAACGTGAGGAATGGCTCACATTTCTGAATTTAAAACCCATTGGTTTCCATACGGTAAAATGATGTGGATTTTACATGATTTTACTTCATGACTTTGGTGATTGACTCCTTCAATCTCCTTCATATTCGTGACATTTCGTGACTCCTTGAAAAAAAGTTGGAGGTCTTCGTGGCGAGCCGTGCTGTGGTCCATGAGAGCTATGAAACAAGGACCAAGTGCTGGTCAACGCTCTTCGCCCACATGGCCGGATTTGCGATGATCAGCGCCTCGAAAACCATGAGATGAACCGTTCCTTTCTTTGGGGCGCTGAAGATGTGGATCAGCTTTGACCAGATGTTGTAGTGTAGTTGAAAGGGTACGGGATGGTACGGGTGTTGTGGGACAGAACGGGCCATGTCAAACGGCCAAAACATTGTTCAAAACATGCGTGAAAACTGATGGCTTCGTTGGCGCCATTGATATGCATATAAGACGTACGCAGATGAGCCATTCGAGGCGCCAACATCAAGAAGTCAATAAGGTGATAGATGTTCCAGTACAGGCTACCAGGAAGTGTTTGGAAGATTTGAAAGGAGTTTTGCAGGTTCTAGGAACCATTTGATCAACACAGGCAGCAGGTTGTGGTGACATGTAAGGTGCTGGGGGCGATCTACAGAATGCCCCCTTCTTCTCTGACCAGCCAGCTACCAGTGGCCTGGCCTGTTTTGGATGTGGTGGTAGTGGGTGGCGATGTTTGGCTTGCGGATGCTTGCGGATCCACTGCCAAGGCTGGTTGGCAATTCTGGTTTGCATCTTCTTCCTGATTGGCATTTTCAGCAACTCGATCTAAGTACCGGCCCATGCACAGTGCTGTGTTGGGGAGCTTTGCTATTGATCCCTGCCTGCTTTGTGACATTGAATTTGATTATGTGCAGTGCAGTCTTTGGCCAGCAAAAATCCATAAAATCCGTTCCTCACTGACCATGAATTTATCAATTCTGGGAACAGGTCAACATATTATGCCAACATTCGAAAGCATTCCAAATCCATCAAGCCACGAGTGTTGGTCATGCCATCCAATTGGATCCAATTGGTATTGGCCCGGACGTTCATTTGAAACAGATGGTCACGGCCCAGGCCTTTCTGAATTACTTTATGCAAGACACCGTGGATCTGAGTCCAAGGCGTTGTTCGTTGAGGGGAGCATTGAGGCGCCTGCATTGCGAAGCCGCGGAAAAAAAAGTATCGCCGTGTCATGATGGCACCGGCACAAGGCTGAAGATGATATCATTTGCTTAGCCGTGTCCTTCATGAAACTTGGTTGAACTATGTTGAACTGCCCCACACCATCCGTACTCCAGAAATGCTTTGTGAATCTTTATGATATGTTTGATCTATTTTGATTGTTCTTTGGGATAATGAGAAATATGAGAAAATGCGACTGAATGACAAACTGATGTGGGGGGAAGGGAGAGGCATGGAGAGGCAGGTCTGAGTTTCAGGGTGTGCATCGAATCACTGCATCAGGATGGTTCAATCCATGCGCTTTACGATCACAGGCTGGAAAGTTGGGATTGGAAGATATTGGAAGATTTGATCGTAGAAACCATGTAGAAACCATGTGGGGTGCGACTCTATTGCGACGCACGGCGCATCGCATTAGTTTCGCAAGCCTTCACCTGAAAACTGCATATCATTTACCGCGGACAAGTGGGAAGCAGCTACTTGTAGGGCCAGGGATTAAAGTGGGGCATGACCAAGAAACCATAAAGTCGATTGACTGACAGCTGACAAAGAGAAAAGGCACCAACGGTTTTGATCAGTTTTGTACCTTTCCGAGTGCGCTGTCTATAATCAATGCAATTGCTTCCAGCTGAAAGCTGCGTACAAGACTGCCAATTTTTCCCTAGCGCAACTGTTTTCGGAAAGCAAGTAGCGTGGATTCATGATTTCCCACCCAGGAGTTTATCTGAAGGTTGTGGGGATTGTACATGATGCCCACGATTGTTCCAACATCATCCCTCTCGAAAGTATTCGTTTGATTTCGCCATTGTTCTGCCAAAGACATGGCGAAAGCTTTATTGCTAGTTGGACAGTCGTCATATATGTCGTCCCCACATTATATTGCCGCTGGCACAGGAGCTGAACCCCCAAGCAGGATTTATGGGTGCGTGATTTGCAAAAACCTGGTTAAAGATGGCCAATGATTTTTGTGGCGAAAAATGATTATACAATATTATACAATATTATACAAATATATATATATATACGTATATAACGTATATATATATATTTGTATGAATTTGTATTAGGATTGCTATTTCAGGATGAAAGAATTTTGGTCAAAACCCACCTGTTGACTGGTTGCAAAATTGCTATTATTGGGCATATTCTGCTTACTTTCCCGTCGCTACAGTAGTAAGCGAAGCCGGCATAGAGAATGCATCAGATATGTGGGAAAGTCCATCAGAATCATGATATATGTAGATTGCCAGGTTTCCTTTGAAGAGGGGAGTTCTTGTACTGGACAGGTAGGGGCCACCACCAACCTACATGTATATAATTGTTTATATATACATAAATACATATATTGTATGTATTTGTATATGTATATTATATATGTATTTGTATATATATATATATGTGTGTGTACATATATATATATATGTGTGTGTATATACATATTTACATATGCGTGTATATATATATATATATATATTTATATATTTATGTCTGTGTGTGTACATATATATATATACATATATGTGTGTGTGTGCGTGTATTCGTTTGAACTTTCCACCCATCCCACCAGGAACTCTACCATCCAAACTCGGACTCTACCACAAGCAGGCAGGAATCTACCATGCGTGTGAATAGTTTAGGGGAGGCTTGTTTGTGTACCAAGACATTTTGCCCACGCATCTGCAAGAAAAGCATTTTCCGTCGAAGGAGGAGATTAGCATTCCCATCAGGCAAGCCTTGGATGGCCCACCATCATTCGTCTCCTAATTTTTTACTGTTCCCCAGCTGCTTCTTCTGCTCCTTCTTCCTCTTTTGCCTCCCTTTGCCTCCCTTTGCCTCGCTCTGCCCCTTCTGCCCCTGCTGCCCTGCTGCCCGGATGATTGGGCTACACCCTCTGCCCCTTCTGCCCCTTCTGCCCCTTCTGCCCCTTCTGCCTCCTCTCTCTCTCTCCCTCCTCTTCTTCTTCTTTTCCTCCTCCTCCTTCTTCTTCCTCTTCTTCTTCTTCTTTTTCTTCTTCTTCTTCTTCTTCTTCTTTTCCTTCTTCTCGTTTTCATCATCATCACCACCACCACCATCATGGACATGGACATCATTGTCATCGTCGTCGTCGTAGTCGTTGTTGTTGGCTGCTGCTGTTGCAGGGCAGGGTGGTGGTGGGTCGTCGTGAGTCGTCATGAGTCGTGCTGGGTCGTGGTCGGTTGGTGGTTCCATTAGTTGCCATGCTGAAATCTACCCTAACCATCCCTAACCGATCTCCAGCTGTTTACCATGCCATGGTCATGCCCAAGCAGTCGACCAAGAAACGACTGCATTGCGCCAGGAAACCGAAACAGCGCAAACTGAGGGCCTTTATGTCATCGCCTTAGAGGAATTGCCCATTGCGAGATTATGACATTGGCGTGGTTTGTTCCGACTGCTACTGATGTTGACCCATCTACAAAATCATAACACAATCCTCATGTCTACCGATAGATGAATGAAGATATTGAAGGATATTGAAGGCTGAATTCTATTGATGTCTTAGTTAATCTAGTGCAGCATGTGTTTTCATTTCTATCAAATGCCGGACAGATCAGAGAAGCATTCTTTGAATTGTCACCTTATGACCCCAGAGGTTATGGGTGTTCTTTCCGCCGATTCTTGGCATGGACTTTGTGGAAAATGTCTGCACTCCACGGGGTGTGATTTCAACAGAGGGATACCAGTACTATCCAGTGCTATTTTGATGATTTTTGACGCGGTTTGTTTCAGGTCATGATGGTCGTGGCGGCTATGGGAATGCGCTTTGCCGGCATTATGAAAGAGTTTGGCAATGTCGGCAATGCATTTTCGTGTGTGGTGTCATGATGTGTCAGGTGTCACATGGGTCTGAAAATAGTGTATACCGTCCAGTCATGGTACTTTTAAGATCTTTTAATAGGAAAAATGATGATTAACCAGTGGATTTAGAGGGTCAAAAGTCAAAACCATGATTTTCCCCATGGTTTTCCCCTGCTCAGAGAAACCCAGGTGGGGGTCAGTGCTCTCCAAATCAGGTCTCGCAGTCGGGTAAAGAATTTGGTGGTTGGGACCTTCTCCATGGGCTCCCATGGCAGCAGTTTCGACCGGGTTGGCACAATATGCAATAATATACTGCTTGTTTTGGTAGTTGGTGTGAGTGTATGTATGCATTTATTATATATATTATATTATAATATATTGTATTGTTTTATCATATATATATATATACATGCTTGACCCCGTCCTAAGATCTACCTTTCATGCTCTTCCAGAGACATGCATGATCAAAGCCACTGCATACTTCAATTAAGTATGCAGTGACTTTGGTCATGCAAAGTTTTGTAAACAGATGTCGGCAATTGTCATTGGAATGCGCAAGTGCGTTTGCATGTGGCAGCATCATACTTTGATGCAAGGAGACTAATGTAGAAGACCTACGCTGGGAATGAAGTGACCATGATGCGTAGAGACATGCACGATCAAAGTCACTGCATACGTCAATTGTCTATGCAGGGACTTTGGTCATGCACAGTTTTGTAAGCAGATGTCGGTGGATCAGTTCAAAGGATACAAAGATAGCTGCCTGTTACTGAGAGAACCAACTTGAATAGGCACAGCAGACATACACGCACATTTTAGACCATGCCGTTTGTTGCTCAGATCAGGCCCCTAGGACTTTGCCATGAACCATCGGGCCAGTGAACCAGTGGCAGTTCGAAAGGTCTTGGCCCCGCAGCCAGTACTCATACTGAGCAGAACGCGATTGGATGCGCAACAAACGGCTACCAACTTGGAACGCTGATTGATATTAAACCGATCCTTCAGGTACCGCCAGCATCGATCTACAATTTGAGTGCCCGATTTGACTCAGAGTCCGCTTGGTGCCAGGGATCTTGTGCGTCTGGATCTGGACATAGGTCGGGCCATCCACTTGAACTTCCCGTTGATCTCGACCCGCTTTTTTTGTGAACAATTCGATCGTGGAGTACGCTGGAGACCTTGGAGGCATAGCGCTTGGCAGAGTCTGTGTGAAGGATGACTTGCCGATCCTGAAGCCACTTTGCTGCCAGTGGTTTCCATTCCACTTTGCGAACAGCAGGCCCAGGTGCTCGGAGCTTTGACGCAAGAGGTTTGAGGCGATGAAGGACAAGCGTATGCGGCCTTCCTCGTTGTAGGATCCCGCACCATTGCTCCCAGTGGAGTTTGCCATTCACGCTTGTCTTGTCGAAGGTGGCTTCGTCAGCTTCGACTTCGTCAGCTTCGGCATCAGCCCACTTTTCGCCTGTGCCAAGCTGGATCTTCTTCTCAGTCGTCACAACCCACGATTCCCGCAGCTGGCCCAACCTCTTGCTCATATCTTCAATGGCTTTGTGGTTGACATGTAGAAGACGATGAATTGTCGCGTGAGGAATGCAATTGAATATAAGCAGAAGCAGGGCTGCTGGGATAGCCAGTGGCGTAGATGAAGATCCCCAGTGATTGACAAACAGAGGATGGTCATGATGTGGGTGCTTCATGCAGCTTTTGTCGCAGCCTCTGTCGCAGCCTCTGTCGCAGCCATCTCTGCATCTTCCAGATTCCAGCTCACCTGGAATCCTTTCGGAATGAACTCCAGGAGCTTCTTCTGGCTTGCTTTTTGACCTGTGACGCTTGGATGGCGGATAGCGGAAGTGTCCAAGACGGTTGCACCTCAAAGCTGGATTGGGCGGGTTCATGACCGGCCGGGGTGGGAGGAGCCGTGTTTCCTCTGAGGAAGGCTCCCTACCCCCTTTGATTGTCAAGCAGACAGACTGGGGGGAGAGCCGCGTAGAGCTGGGCTTCAATCTCGTCATTGGCATACTTGATGTAAGCCTCTGGCCTTCCTGCTGCAAACTTTTCCATGCCAGCGGAGATTACACGGACTCCTTCTCGAGTTTCCTCCTCCCATTGGTGGAGTACAGTGGCTTGTCCTTTTCGGCCAGGAGGTCCTTGTGCCGGTCATCCGCTTTGATTCGATGCACCTTGGCTGCAAGATCCTGGTCGGGGAGCCGAAGGTAGACAGCACGTTGCCCCACAAGAAGAACAACAGAGCGTTTCATGCAGGCGAGGACATCAGCCAGCTTATGGCCTGCAAACAAGCGCCTGGTAATCTTCATGAACTCCTCGCTTGTGATGGAAGTGCGGGAATCGTCGGCGTCTTCATGGTCCAAGTCATTGGGCGCAAAGCTCTCATACAATTCCTAGTGTGAGCTTTGCGTGGTTGTAACGACCAGATGCGGTTTGTTTGACGGTCAAGAAGGATTTGAGGTCCGCAATGGAAATGTTCTCACGGTTGGGGTCATCGAGAAAGATACCTTCATAAACGTTGGCCACTTGGTGTCGGAAGTTGTCGAGCGACTTGGCTCTTCTCCATCCTGGCAATCTTCTTGGGGCCTATGGCCTATGGATGTGATATCTTCCCATGGCAAGGATCACTGTGATCAGGGCAGGAGTCTTTCCAATCCCTGGCCCCTGGCCATCCCAAAGCTATGACCCCGTAACAGCGAAGAGCGGGTACAAGAGGGGTAACAACTTGTCAGCCAAGAAGGGGTTCAACGAAGAAGTAGTCAGTCAAAGGAAATCCTCTTTGCAGGGTAACACCAGTGGAAGCTTTGGACTTGTTCTGCGCCATGACCCTCACTTTCGCCTCTGGCCATCCTGCAATGGGGCTGTCAGAGTCTTCTTTGATGTTCATCACAATCCATGTGTGCTGCTCATTGTTTGCCTCCGTTTCTGGCGTGTAGTCGTTGATGAAAGAGACGCCCTGGAGGAGAGTTTCGTTGTCCGGGGCCCAAGTGGAGAGCTCGATCCATTCTTTGCTGGTGCCTCCCATTTGGTCACTGTGCCCCAATGCACATGGTGTCCAGGCAGCTTGTCCAGCAAGGATTGGAATAGCTTTCTTCACTGCCCATGGACCTGGGCGAGAGAAAGGGACATATGCAGATCCGGCAATGAGCTTGGAGGCCTCTCGTGTTGACACCTTGTCATTGAAGGTAACATACTTGATCACATCCAGCTGCCCATTGCCTTTGTCCATGACAACGCCTCCAACTTTCGAACCGGCTGGCGGTGCTTCTGCAAAATGCAAGGCGGCTGGCAGGCTTGCAACCCTTTCCTCCTTCAATGCCAAAGCGACATCATGGAGAGACCCACAATGACCCACGGCTAGCTGCACATCCACGATCATGATAGTTGTCTTCACACCACTAGGCTGGCGGCAGCAGGACGGGAAGTCTTGCATTGTTAGGAGCCTTTCCATGTCACCTGAAGTCTTGACTTCGCAACAAGGAAGAGTACGACTTTCGAATCTCCACTGTCTCCAGCCAGCCGTAGGTCTGCATCGCCCCGTCAATGAAGCAATTGGCCATGGATTGCAGCCAACCCTGCAAGTGCATGTGCACTATTGCTGGGTGGAAGACACGAGCAACACCAGTGCCAGACAATAAGCCAGTATATCAAAGACAGACATAGACAGGAACCACATGTGCCGATCTGTGTGACACATATGATGCAGAAACTCTAAGTGTGACACATGTCTCTGTGTAACACATATGACGCAGAAAGCTCGAAATGTTACACATGTCTGCAAAAATTCTGCGCGGATGCCAACAAGCATTTCACACACTTTTCTCCGTGTCCGATCTTGGCTCAAGCTCAAAATCCCACCAGCAGCGATAATAATAATAGTGCCATATAGATCCCCAACTTCATGCCAGCAAGTGCACGAGGCCCTGCAGCTCTGCTACTTTCTTCTCGGACTTCTCCAGCCCATCAGCCAAGGAAAGATGCTGTTCCAGGAGGTGATCAAAGTCAGAGCACAAGGGGCAGCGCTGAACCTTTGGTGGGCGTTCCATATCAGAATCAGCATCAGGCGAAGGCGGACCCACGTTCAATGACGGGTTGGGGATGTACTCACCATCAGCATCACTTGCATCTTCTTGCTGGACCCCTAAGGGTGGATTGGGGACCCCTTGCACTTCCTCGACTGCTGCATCTTCGGAGTCAGACGAGGAGTAGGTCGAAGAATCCGAAGAACTCGACATCGACGAGGATAACGATTTGGCTGCAGCATCCCTCGATGCCAACACCTTAGATATCCAGGGCATGGGATGTCATATGCTGCATGGACATGTTGTACTCGAAGTACAGCTTTGTGAGGTAGTCCGTCATGTTAACCCCCATGCTTGGGGCCAAGACATGTGAGGGCTTCGTTTCCACAAAGCCATGTAATTCTTCTACCAAGATACAGGTGCTGTCGGTGGTGCATCCTTCAAACCCACATCTTAGATATCCATGGCATGGGATGACACAGACTGCATGAACTAGGAACCGCAATGATCAAAGACTTTCTACTCGCATGCAACCAAGTGGCTCGTGGAGGGGATGGCAAAGCCAATGGCGCTGTCTGCTTTGACCGCATCAATTTCGGTCGTTGCAGTGAGCGGAGTACTTGCTGCTCTGCAGCATCGGACCAGGCCCTAAAAGGACCCACAGGTTCAAGCCGCAGGCCACATTGCACATTGCAGACCATTGCGGCAACATGCTTCTTGAGGATTGGTCGTCGGGATTCGTAGATGGGGAACTTGCCCTCCAAGACTTTGTCCACGAATGCTTGTAGTGGTGGCACTGGTCGAGCAGCCGATCCACCTCGCTCCCCAGCCACTTCCAACACCACTACAGCCTGATTTCCTTCCACGGAGACGCTGCCCGACACTGGAATTGCCATGATTTCAAAGTAGAGTGCAGATCAAGATGCTGCTGCTGTGAACAAAGATGGCTAGGCGCAGCTCTGAGATAGAAGCAAGTGTCAGAAGGTTACAGCAAGGCTGTTGGCTGTTTGCACGACATTTCTGGAGATGTGCTGATTCAAGCCTGACAAGACCCAGACTTGAGAATCTCAAGTCTGAAAAGGGTTCAAACTCCCACATAATTAACTCGAAGAACAGCCAGCGCTGCAAGTTAATATGCGCTATTGCTGGGTGGAAGACACTGGCAACACTAGCGCCTCTTTTGACAATTCGACAGCCAGTGGCCCTTCAGCCAAAGTCAGGCGGACCCAAAATTAAAGAGACATCCATTAATGAGACGGTGGATTTATTTTCGTTTTTCAACTAACCATATCCAGATCCAAGATCCAAGATGTTCCAAAAACTTTTCTTGGGTCCAGGGCCAGGGCTGAAATTTCGGATCTGGATCCGATCCAAGATCCAAGATCCAAGAAAAAATTGAAAATCTTTCAGCCCCGGATCCAAGAGAAGTTTTTTGAAAATCTTGGATCTTGGATCCGTGTGCCCTGGGATCCCAAGTCTGACAGCTGTCCAGACTTGAGATCCCAAGTCTGACAGCTGTTCAAACTCCTATCTTTAAATCTAATGTTATATATGTATATGTATATGTGCATCTATGCAAAAGTTTTCCAGGTAGATCTCAGGGGGTACGAAATATATTGAATATAAATATATATATATATATATACACCAGTAGTACCGCACAAGGCGGTGGCGGAAGTTTCAAAAATAGGAAACCTATAGGAGCGCTTGGTTCTTGTGAATCAGGGATGGCAGAGCGAAGCCACTGATGGACCGAAAGGTGCTTGAAGTCTCCTCTCTTTCTCTTTCTTTCTCTGACTACCTACCTACCTATCTATGTATCATTATGTATATCTATCTATCTATCTATCTATCTACCTATCTATCTATCCATCTATCTATCTATCTACCTACCTACCTGTCCTATCTGCAAGCTTGAAAACGGAGCAATTCTCCGAGACCCCCTCTATTTTTGAACTTGACAACGTCAAAAACGAAGCAATTCTGCGAGACTTCCTCAGTTTTTGAACTCGACATCAAAAACGCAGCAATTCTGCGAGGCTTCCTTCAATGTTTGAACTTGACAACGTCAAAAACGAAGCAATTCTGCGAGACGTCTTCATTTTTGGACAACATCAAAAACGAAGCAATTCTGCGAGACGTCCTCAATTTTTGAACTTGATAACGTCAAAAACGATGCAATTCTGCGAGACTTCCTAATTTTTCGAAGTTGACAACATCAAAAACGAAACAATTCTGCGAGACGTCCTTCAAAAATGGAAAGTTGAGTGCAGAGCTGACGGCCTCGTACCAATGCGTTTTGCGATTTTTCGACTCCACCTGTCTAAACTACGTGATACCGGGTCATACGAAGTGCTGCACCTGTCACGCAAAATCATCTTAGCAAACCTACAGATCTGATGCTCCAAAATGCAACCCCTCTCAGGAAATCAGCACCCTGACCTCCTAACATCTCTCTGATGAACATGTGTTTTGTATTACGCCTGCCACTCGAAATGCATCTTTGCAGATCCTCTTCAAATGTCCCACGCCTGCCATCGATTTTGGACATGCTACAAAACCCTCACGTTTAGCTCACTTTTGTGAAGGTGCACAATCCCTTGCGCCTGCCACGCAAACGACATCTGAACGTCCAAAAGTGGTCCAAACCTGGTGTGTTTTGTACATTTTGACTTCGAGATGTGCACGCCGTTGTGGCGCGAAGCACGTTTCGAAGTCAAAATGTACAAAACGCACCAGGTTCGGACAGTTCGGACCACTTTTGGAAATTGAGATGTCGAAAAAGTGCACGCCGTTGTGGCGCGAAGCACTTTTTCGACATCTCAACTTCCAAAAGTGGTCCGAACCTGGTGTGCTTTGTACATTTTGACTTCGAAATGTGCTTCGCGCCACAACGGCGTGCACTTTTTCGACATCTCAATTTCCAAAAGTGGTCCGAACTGTCCGAACCTGGTGCGTTTTGTACATTTTGACTTCGAAATGTGCTTCGCGCCACAACGGCGTGCACTTTTTCGACATCTCAACTTCCAAAAGTGGTCCGAACCTAGTGTGTCCCGTGCATTTTGACTTCGAAATGTGCTTCGCGCCACAACGGCGTGCACTTTTTCGACATCTCAACTTCCAAAAGTGGTCCGAACCTGGTGCGTTTTGTACATTTTGACTTCGAAATGTGCTTCGCGCCACAACGGCGTGCACTTTTTCGACATCTCAATTTCCAAAAGTGGTGGAACAATGGTGTGCTTTGTACATTTTGACTTCGAAATGTGCTTCGCGCCACAACGGCTTGCACTTTTTCGACATCTCAACTTCCAAAAGTGGTCCGCACCTGGTGTGTTTTGTACATTTTGACTTCGAAATGTGCTTCGCGCCACAACGGCGTGCAATTGTTCATCTCTCATCTAGCCACATGGCTCTGCACCCGCCGCTTTAGCGAGTCTACTTTTCGACCCTCCGGGGCCGCAAATCATTGGAAAAACACTGAAAAACACAGTGTTTCGCGACTTTCGTACCTTTTCGCGCATCTGCATCTTCTTTCTTCTGGCTCTTTCTCTTCTCTGATCTTCTCTCTTCTACCCTTCTCTTCTCTCTGACTCTTCCCATCTCTGCTTTTCATCTGTCCTTATTGTCGGAAGTTTGACTTCTAAACTTCCTTCGATTATTTTTATTTATTTCCTCTTTTTTTAATCTATTTATTTTTATTTATGTATCTATTTTTTTAATGTATTTATTTACTTATGTATTTATTTATTTATTTATTTTATTTTATTTTTACTTTCTTTTTTCAATTTTATATATATATAATAGTACATATGTTATTATATAATACCTTTGACATACAAACAGCTATGGACACTGGTTTTTCGGTGACAAAAAAGCTTTCAACAGATTTTTTGAGCATCGTTGAAGAATGCCCATATCGAATGAAAGGATGTGAAGGGCGGCCTTAAACTGGTTCATGCTCGCAAGAGCAGGCAGACTGTGCGGATATTGCAGGTGTATTTATGCTTCTGTATATGCGCAGATGTTCCCCCAATTACGGCTAAAACTGCGCAAGAGTGATTTGTTGTCTAAAATTCAAAAAAACACAGCGCGAAGGCCACGGTTGCCTTCGAAGCCTTGCGAAAGGGTTCACGAGAGTGTTTTCTCAGTATAAAACCGGGAAATAGTTTGTCGAACACAGCTCATATGCAGACAGAAAGATGAGTTCTTTGGATGGATTGAAAGTAGTTGAAGCCTCCAATCCTCCGACCGTATTGCAATGTGGCAGAATCAAAACCGTTTTCAACAGCCTGACACTTGTCGTTGCCAGTCTTTGCTAATCTCTGTTCCAAGAATTACTCAACCATACAGTACCTATGGCATGTGCATAGAAACCAGAGACGGCCACAGGAATGCCTTTCCCTTGAGGTTTTGCTTGGGCCTTTCTTTTTGCGACTCGTTCCCTCTTCGATTCGTGGAGTTTCCTGCAGAGCAGGAAGATCTCGCCCTTGACCATTGAGGGACGCATCGTGCTGGCTATGACGCTGTCGCGTACTAAGTATTTTCAACCAATATGATTCAAAGGGGCAATTCAGGCAAGTTGCTTGGTCCTTTCTTTGCTATTCCTCTAGAGCCTTGAGCATTCCAAGTTCGTTGTTTGGCTGACCCATTTCTTCAGACCTGCACGATGGCAGTGGGATGTAGCTGCATATCAGTTTCGCACCTTGAACTTTAGGTCACTGTTCGCCTGCATGATCATCGTTATCCTCGACAGGTTTCTGGCGATTGAATGACCGGGTGTTTGAACCAGTTTGAACTACTTCAGAGGTGCGATCATGGTCGAAATAGGTCGTAGGGTTTCGATATCATGATCAAAACTGATCTATGTTGTGCATTTTGGTGCTGCAAGTAAGGGGACTTTCACGGACTTTCATCCAACCAATCAACCAGCTCACCTGCAGACTTACAGATTGATTTGGAAATCCGCAGTCTTCAAACTTGTGGAGAAAGGGTGCGGCAATGCAAAGTCAACTGGTGAGCCTAACGGCATCCAGGTTCGAAGATAATCTTCATGATGATGCTGATGACATACACAAAGCCCTGAAGATTCATGGCGAAGCCAATGCGTGTTATCAGCTGCGGGTGCACACTTGGATAGATGATTATAGATGGCTTGCAAACAAGGTCGCTTAAACTGAGCCAATAGAATGAGATGTATGGGTCAGTCGTCGAAGAATCGTGGGCAGACCCATGAATTCATATTAATTCCCGTGCTGAATCCTCCGCAAATTAGTATAAATTCGTGGATATATCGACTTTTATCAATTCACGATGATTCATGGATATATTGATTTCCCCATGGATTATTCAAAAACGAATGGATTGTCATGTCTTTTTGTCGAAGATTTTACCAGCCAATGGCTGTCAGTTCCTCTGGCTTTGCTGTCCAAATATGGGAGTCTGACAGGGGAAACCCCAAATCCACCAGTTGCTGGGTTTATATGAGCGCATATATGAGTTTATCATATTGTTCATCGAAGGAAGTTTAGAAGTCAAACTTCCGACAATATGGACAGATGAAAAGCAGAGCAGGGAAGAGGCAGAGAGAAGAGAAAGATTAGAAGAAAGAAGGGTAGAAGAGAAAGAGTAAGAAGAAAAAAGATGGAGATGCGCGAAAAGGTAGGAAAGTCGCGAAACACTGTGTTTTTCCAATGATTTGGGGCTCCGGAGGGTCGAAAAGTAGGCTCGCTAAAGCGGCGGGTGCGGAGCCAGCTGGCGAGATGAGAGATGAAAAGTTGCACGCCGTTGTGGCGTGAAGCACATTTCGAAATCCCCACCCCCTTGGGCAGCTTTTTTTTGGGGGGGGGTCAAAAAATGTAAGTTACAAACAAATAGGGGGGACCCCCCCGTCAAAAAATGTAAGTTACATTTTCGCGACCCCCTAACTTACATTTTTTTGCCCCCCCCCCCAATGAAAAAATCAAAAATGAGGGGGTCAAAAAATGTAACTTCCAATTTGTGACCCCCCCCCTCATTTTTTTAAAATTCACGTTTTTTCTATTTTCAGGGGGGGGGGGGCACGGGGGGGGGACGTGCAGATCGAATCATCTCAAAATACCCCGAGCAATTTTTAATGATAAAATATGAAGTAATATGAAATAATATGAAAACCACTACTATTCTTGCTGCTATTATATACTCTATTACTACTATTAATTCGTATTAATATTGCTGCCACGAGTACTACTAGTACTACTCGCACTACTAGTACTACTAGTACTACTAGCACTACTATTTGGTACTATCTTGTGCTACCTTATTCTGTTTCTATTCATTTTTATACTATCTTCTGCTGTTCCCGGTTTGTTTGGATCATGCACCATCTGCAAGATTGCCTGCAATATTGTTGCTGATGCTGTTTGCATCTGCTTGCTAGATTTCATAAGCGCTTACCTTAAGGTCACGGTCTTCATGTGTTTTTGCAGAAATTTGGAAAACTCCCCTGCAGCTACTTACATTTTTTCATACCAGGCAATCCCAGGCAAAGTGCGCAATGTAACATATTGTAACATCGGATCTGACATTTTCTTGCATGATCTTGCATCAACTTACATGTTTCACGCTTAAATAGGGAGCATCAAGAAACCACTGGAAACCATAAGAAACTTCAAGAAACTATATATTATATAACTATCAAAGGAACTTGTCAATATTTGTGAATGTCGGTGGTGAACCCATACCAATCTTAGTCATCTACAGTGATCTAGGTGCCCCATGTCGTTCTCAGCAGATGCTCCTTCAGGTGCAGTGCCAGCCTAGGCAGGCAGAAAAATGTTTTTGCAAACTTTCTGCCAGCGGCACCTTCTGCTACATAACTTTCTGCTAGCGGAGCCTTCTGCTACATATATTTCTGCTAGGGGAGCCTTCTGCTAGATAACTTTCTGCTAGCGGAGGCTTCTGCTACATAACTTTCTGCTAGGGGAGCCTTCTGCTACATAACTTTCTGCTAGGGGAGCCTTCTGCTACATAACTTTGTGCTAAGGGGAAGCCTTCTGCCACATTTTCTGCTCCTTCAGGTGCAGTGCCAGCCTAGGCAGGCAGAAACATGGTTTGCAAGATATGTCACATTATGATACAATAGCATACAATATGTCACCTTGTGACATAATGTGGGAATCAGATGGCGTAAGATAGAATAAGAACAAGAAGTAGTAATTAAAATGTAAGTTTGACTGTGTGGACATGGAGATCTCCTGCAAAACACCATCATTTTCAACACCTAAAGCAGCCTAGCTTACATTTTCAAAAAACGCCGCCATTCACCAGGCAATTCCAGGCAAACTGCACAATGATACGCACATATGCAATCACATGCACAAAAAATGAACATAGAATATCATCCTAGCCATCCAGAATCTACAGTGATCTAGGTGCCCCACATCGTTCACAGCAGATGCTCCCTCAGGTGCACTGCCAGCCTAGGCAAGCAGCAAAATGCTTTGCAAGATAGGCCACATTATGATACAATAATATACAACATGTCACCTTATGATGCCTTATGACATAATGTGGGAATAAGATTGAATAAGAAGTAGAAATAAAAATGTAAGTTTGACTGTGTGGACATGGGCATCCTCTGGAAAACACCATCATTTTCAACACCTAAAGTAATCTAGCTTACATTTTTCAAGAAACACTACCACTCACCAGGCAATTCCAGGCAAAGTGCACAATGATGCGCACATATGCACAAAAAATGACATAACATATCATGAAATGACCAAAGGTGATCTCATCTATGCGACGCAAACATGTAAGCTGAAAGCAATAGGGGGGCCAGAATCCCTGCAGCCGATAACACTATCTCAAACACCTTCCCCCAAACAGCTTACTATATAGGCATTATATGGTAATATAATGTAACATCAGATCTTACATTTTCTTGCATGATCTTGCATCAACTTACATGTTTCACGCTTAAATAGGGAGCATCAAGAAACCACTGGAAACCATAAGAAACTTCAAGAAACTATATATTATATAACTATCAAAGGAACTTGTCAATATTTGTGAATGTCGGTGGTGAACCCATACCAATCTTAGTCATCTACAGTGATCTAGGTGCCCCATGTCGTTCTCAGCAGATGCTCCTTCAGGTGCAGTGCCAGCCTAGGCAGGCAGAAAAATGTTTTTGCAAACTTTCTGCCAGCGGCACCTTCTGCTACATAACTTTCTGCTAGCGGAGCCTTCTGCTACATATATTTCTGCTAGGGGAGCCTTCTGCTAGATAACTTTCTGCTAGCGGAGGCTTCTGCTACATAACTTTCTGCTAGGGGAGCCTTCTGCTACATAACTTTCTGCTAGGGGAGCCTTCTGCTACATAACTTTGTGCTAAGGGGAAGCCTTCTGCCACATTTTCTGCTCCTTCAGGTGCAGTGCCAGCCTAGGCAGGCAGAAACATGGTTTGCAAGATATGTCACATTATGATACAATAGCATACAATATGTCACCTTGTGACATAATGTGGGAATCAGATGGCGTAAGATAGAATAAGAACAAGAAGTAGTAATTAAAATGTAAGTTTGACTGTGTGGACATGGAGATCTCCTGCGAAACACCATCATTTTCAACACCTAAAGCAGCCTAGCTTACATTTTCAAAAAACGCCGCCCTTCACCAGGCAATTCCAGGCAAACTGCACAATGATACGCACATATGCAATCACATGCACAAAAAATGAACATAGAATATCATCCTAGCCATCCAGAATCTACAGTGATCTAGGTGCCCCACATCGTTCACAGCAGATGCTCCCTCAGGTGCACTGCCAGCCTAGGCAAGCAGCAAAATGCTTTGCAAGATAGGCCACATTATGATACAATAATATACAACATGTCACCTTATGATGCCTTATGACATAATGTGGGAATAAAATTGAATAAGCAGTAGTAATTAAAATGTAAGTTTGACTTTGTGGACATGGGCATCCTCTGGAAAACACCATCATTTTCAACACCTAAAGTAATCTAGCTTACATTTTCAAGAAACACTACCACTCACCAGGCAATTCCAGGCAAAGTGCACGATGATGCGCACATATGCACAAAAAATGACATAACATATCATGAAATGACCAAAGGTGATCTCATCTATGCGACGCAAACATGTAAGCTGAAAGCAATAGGGGGGCCAGAATCCCTGCAGCCCACAACACTATCTCAAACACCCTCCCCCAAACAGCTTACTATATAGGCATTATATGGTAATATAATGTAACATCGCATCTTACATTTTCTTGCATGATCCTGCATCAACTTACATCTTTCACGCATAGGTAGGAAGCATCAAGAAACCACTGGAAACCATAAGAAACTTCAAGCAACTATATAACCACCAAATGAACTTGCCAATATTTTTTTGAATGTCGGTGAACCCATGCCAATCCTAGTTATCTACACTGATCTGGTGTCCCACGTCGTTTTCAGCAAATTCTCCCTCTCGTGCACTTCCACCCTACGCAACCACTAAAATGCTTTGCAAGATATGCCACATTATGATACAATAATAAACAATATGTCACCTTATGATGCCTTATGACATAATGTGGGAATAAGATTGAATAAGAAGTAGAAAGAAAATGTAAGCTTGACTGTGTGGACATTGGCATCCTCTGCAAAACGCCATCATGTCCAACACCTAAAGTAGTCTAGCTTACATGTTTCAAAAACCACCACCATTCACACCTGGCAATCCCAGGCAAACTGCACAAATGTAAGCTGAAAGCAATGGGGGGGCACAATCCATGCAGCCCACCACTATCTCAAACACCCTCCCCCAAACTGCTCACCATAAATATATATATATATATAATACAGGATCTTGCTTTTTCTTGCATGATCTTGCATCAACTTACATCTTTCACGCTTAAATACGGAGCATCAAGAAATCACTGGAAACCATAAGAAACTGCAAGAAACTATATATTATATAACTATCAAAGGAACTTGTCAATATTTGTGAATGTCGGTGAACCCATACCAATCTTAGTCACCACAGTGATCTGGGTGTCCCACGTCGTTTTCAGCAAATGCTCCCTCAGGTGCAGTGCCAGCCTAGGCAGGCAGAAAAATGCTTTCCAAGATATGTCCCATTATGATTCAATATGTCACCCTATGGCATAATGTCGGAATTAGATCGAATAAGAAGTAATAAGAAAATGTAAGCTTGACTGTTTGGACATGGGAATCTTCTGCAAAACACCATCATTTCCAACACCTAAAGTAGTCTAGCTTACATTTTTCAAAAACTTCCGCCATTATGATTCAATATGTCACCCTATGACATAATGTGGGAATAAGATGGGATAAGAAGTAATAAGAAAATGTAAGCTTGACTGTTTGGACATGGAGATCTTCTGCAAAACACCATCATTTCCAACACCTAAAGCAGTCTAGCTTACATTTTTCAAAAACCTCCGCCATTCACACCAGGCAATCCCAGGCAAACTGCACAAATGTAAGCTGAAAGCAATGGGGGGGCAGAATCCATGCAGCCCACCACTATCTCAAACACCCTCCCCCAAACTGCTCACCTTATATATATATATATAAAATATAGGATCTTGCTTTTTCTTGCATGATCTTGCATCAACTTACATCTTTCGCGCTTAAATAGGGAGCATCAAGAAACCACTGGAAACCATAAGAGACTTCAAGAAACTATATAACTATCAAAGGACCTTGTCAATATTTGTGAATGTCGGTGAGCCCATGCCAATCTTAGTCATCTACAGTGATCTGGGTGTCCCACGTCGTTTTCAGCAAATACTCCCTCAGGTGCAATGCCAGCCTAGGCAAGCAGAAAAATGCGTTGCAAGATATGTCGCATTATGATTCAATATGTCGCCTTATGACATAATGTGGGAATAAGATGGAATAAGAAGTAATAAGAAAATGTAAGCTTGACTGTTTGGACATGGGGATCTTCTGCAAAACACCATCATTTTCAACACCTAAAGCAGTCTAGCTTACATTTTGCAAAAACACCACCATTCACCAGGCATTTCATGCCAATTCCAGGCAAAGTGCACGAAAAATACTGTATCAAAAAATGACAATATATGACATAGGGTATTATCTCAGTCATCTATAGTCATTGAGGTGCCCAACGTGGTTCTCAGCCGATGCATGCCTAGGTGCAGCGTCAGCTTAGGCAAGCAGAAAGATGCTTTGCAAAAGATGCCGTGTTGTGACATCACTTACGTAGAAATAAGCAAAATGAAACTTGTGCACACCTGGACATGGAAATCTGTTGCAAACCACCATTTTTTTATCACCTCAAGCAGTCCAGCTTACATTTTCAGAAACACCACCATGCACCACTGAAAATGATTGAAAGCTGGGTCCCAAACTTCGGCGTCCAATGCCCCCCAACAGGCGTCCTCAGAATCCGGCAGCATCCGGTATCATCTGGTAACTTGATGCGAAAGTATGCAAAAGTATACATGCCAAAATATGCCAAAATGCAGCCTACATGAAAGGACATGTTTTAAACATTACTAAACCAGATCATGTGTCAGATTGCGGCAAGCATGCGACGAGCGCTTTGATTTTTGCACTCTCTAGCTATCTCTAGCCTCTCTAACCCATCTCGACTCCTCACATCTAAAGTAACTTTGCCACAGCGCAGTTCTATTCTGTACACACCCTTGCTGACAGATCGAATCGAATTGATTGATACCACAAACTGGCAAATGACACTGTAGGCACTTGTTGGCCCTACAGGGATTTCACAGAAACATCTAATTGAAACCTGCCTTGATTTTTTTCATACCTTTTCATATCCTTTCATGTCAACTCTGCGTTGCGCTGCCAAACTCAAATCATCTGAATCCCAGACATTCTCAGACCAAATGAATCACCAGTAGCAGCCGGCATCATCCAGCATCCTGTGTGAGCTGAGTTTGTCACTGGAACCTATGATGGATCCAGCACAATCCATCATAAACCACGCAGTGCGTTGGCTTTTACCGACTTGCCCGCACTACCCCAGCCCCAATGGTAGCCATTGGTGACGAACTGGAGTTCTATGGCATTCTTGCATCTGGTCAAAGCATATCTAATACTACGAGCACTGCTAATACTATTACGCTGCTACTACTACTACTACTGCTAATAATAATAATATAGAAAAAATAATATACATATATATCTATAACTATATATTCAATAAACAATTACAGGGTCAAAAAATGTAACTTACATTTTTTGAGCAAATGTAACTTACATTTTTTGACCACCCCCCCTAGTTTTGGACGTTTCCTCTCAAAAAATGTAAGTTACATTTTCTGAGGAAATTGCAAAAATGTAACATTATCTTCTTGACCCCCTCAACCCTATTTTTTTGTAACTTACATTTTTTGACCCCCCCCTAGCTTAATAGGTGGGGATATTTCGAAGTCAAAATGTACAAAACACACCAGGTCCGGACCACTTTTGGAAGTTGAGATGTCGAAAAAGTGCACGCCGTTGTGGCGCGAAGCACATTTCGAAGTCAAAATGTACAAAACACAACATTGTTCCACCACTTTTGGAAGTTGCGATGTCGAAAAAGTGCACGCCGTTGTGGCGCGAAGCACATTTCCAAGTCAAAATGTACAAAACACACCATTGTTCCACCACTTTTGGAAATTGAGATGTTGAAAAAGTGCACGCCGTTGTGGCGCGAAGCACATTTTGAAGTCAAAATGTACAAAACACACCAGCTTCGGACCACTTTTGGAAGTTGAGATGTCGAAAAAGTGCACGCCGTTGTGGCTCGAAGCACATTTGGAAGTCAAAATGCGCAAAACACCTCAGTGTCGGACGACTTTTGGAAGTTGAGATGTCGAAAAAGTGCACGCCGTTGTGGCGCGAAGCACATTTCCAAGTCAAAACGTACAAAACACCACATGTTCGCGCCACTTTTGGAGGTTCAGATGTCGAAAAAGTGTACGCCGTTGTGGCGCGAAGCACATTTCGAAGTGAAAATGTACAAAACACTAGGGGTTAGGACCACTTTTGGAGGTTCAGATGTCGCTTCGCCGCTTCGCTTCACTACACTACACTACGTTACATTACACCACACTCCACTATACTACACTACATTACACTACACTACACTCCACAACACTACAACTACAACTACACAACTAGACTACACTCCACTACATTAATTTTCACTACACTACATTACACTACACTTCGCTCCACTACACTACACTACACTAAATTACACTACACTACACTACATTACCCTACACTACACTCCACTACACTACACTACACTCCACTACACTACACTACATTACACTACACTACCTTCCACTACACTTCACTACATTACACTACACTACACTACACTACAACTACAACTACGACTACACAACACACTCCACTACACGAAATTACACTACACTACACTACATTACACTACACTACACTACATTCCACTACACCCCACTACACTACACTACATTACACTACACTACAATACACTGAATGACACTGCACCACAGATAGACAGGTAGACAGGTAGACAGATAGACAGATAGACAGATAGACAGATAGACAGGTAGACAGCTAGACAGATAGACAGATGAAAGAGAGAGAGAGAGATAGATAGATAGATAGATAGATAGATAGGGTAATTAGATGAAAGAGAGAGAGAGAGATAGATCGATCGATAGATAGATAGATACATAGAAAATAGATAGGTAGGTAGGTAGATAGTCAGAGAAAGAGATAGAAAGAGTGAGAGAGATCAAGCACCTTTCAGTCCATCAGTGGCTTCGCCCTGCCATCCCTGATTCACAACAACCAACCTCTCCTATAGGTTTCCTATTTTTGAAACTTCCGCCACCGCCTTGTGCGGTACTACTGGTATATTTTATCCATATGTGCCAGAAACCACTGAACAGAGTTCGCACTATGGTTGGAGAAAGCCACCTTGACGATAGTGGGGAGAGTGGGTACATCAGAATGGTCAAGCCTCCTGGATTACCTCAAGCTGGTAGTCAGAATGATAGAATCTTACACCAGCAAGGCAGCACACTCACCTGCAGCATCCTGCAGCCATGCCAAGGAACATCATCACAGGCCTTAGCATTTTGTCTCCATTTGTCTACAATTTTCCACAGATGGTGACGCTGAGTTCTTGTTTGGAGATTCTTGTGCTGTGTGACGGTTCTGGGCAGATCATTTCATCGAGTTTCATTGGTTCCCGCTCGAGGTGCTGAGGCATAGACAGGTCCGTTGATGTTCACTGATGTTGACCATTGTTGATCCTACATGAATTGCATTCTCAAAGAATGTCAAAGGGTAAAACTTATTTATGACATTTCATGACTATACTTGTGGAGGATGAATGCGACTCAAACTGTTTGCCTGTGGTCGTTTGATTGGATTGTTTTCCTCTCAAAAGACATTTTTTGTTGGACAAGAAGTGCCCTCTAAGGCTTGAAGGGGTTTTGGACATTCACCCTTGTTCCATCTTGGACATCCGAGGTATCTTGATAGGTTTTACATGGGAGCACACCTTTGATGGGTGTGTGGAAGCAATATCATCCTTATTCTCAGCCGCATGGCAGCACAAGCTGGTGGACCCGAAATGACACACTATGCCACAAACAACATGGAAGATCTTGGAATGACTCCATTCAGGCCTTAGGCTGCCAAAATTGTTGTCTTCATGTCACTCATATAGCATTTTTTGCTCGCACTGGTGTAGAAGTCTGCGACATTCGATGAGCGTCAAGTTCTGGGAGACTGCAAGGGTGACTCATCTATACCGCTATACCATTGAATACCTGTATACCTATACAAATTGCGGATGTTTGATTTCAAGGATCCTTTGGCAATCAAACTCTTCCTCACCTTCCTCATCGTGCTCATTGTAGTTCCTGCCTGGCGGAAGTACATTTTGGCAAAGGCCACTCTGGCCTCGTGGGCGGGCAGAGTAGGGAACATGTTGGGGATCGTCTTGCGCATCTGCATTTTGTTACATGGGACATGATGGCCATCAATATACATGATTATGATTGTGATTGATTACGCATGGATTATCCATGGACTTTGACTATGCATTTATTATAATTTATTGCAGGGTCCAGTCTTATGAGTTCTTCCGGGCCACAGCCTGGAGGTTCAACAATAGGTTATTTAAGTATCACTTATTAGCATGTTTTTGTCAACTATTTATCAATCCTCATGATCCTCCATTTTCAAACGTATCATTATTCATCATGGTTTTAAATCCTGGTTTTCAATTTCAAGGAAATTTGCCATGTTTTTATCATGTGTTCCATTCAAAATTGGTGAAGATTAGCTGGCTTCCTTGGTTTCACGATTTTTGCTGCAGAAATCTTCGATTTTGCAAGGAAATCGATAAAAATGATAAGCACTTAAAAAAAAAAACATTGACATATTTCTAGGAAATTTATTAAACAATTAGACTTTTTGGTGCCCAAAAAGTATCATGTTGTTCCATCTTTATTAATTTTCTAGAAATCTGCCAATTGTTTATCAGTTTTTTATCGATTTCCTAGCAAAACCCGCTACTTTCAATTGTTTTCCATCCAAAATTGGTGAAATCAGCTGTTGTCCTTGGTTTTTCACGACTTTTGCTGCTGAAATCTCCGATTCTGAAAGGAATTCGATAGGAAAAATTGATTTAAGAAAAACATATACACAGAATTCTAGACAATTGATCCCAAAAAAAAAGTATGTAAAAAATGATGACCAACAAGTATGATGTTTCATTTGCTTATCAACTTCCGATCAGTTTTCTAGCGAAACCAGCTGGTTTCTATTGTTGTCCATTCCAAATTGGTGAAAATCAGCTGTTTTCCCTGGTTTTCACCACTTTTGCTGCTGAAGGAGATCGATAAACAGCAGCTGTTTTCCTGAGTTTTCACCACTTTTGCTGCTGAAATCTTCGATGTTGCAAGGAAATTGATTTCAGAAAAACTGATTTGAAACAAATGACAGTTTGTAGGAACTTGATTTTTTAAAATGCTAACATTAGAAGATTGACAAGCAATTGATAATCAAAGTTGAACAAATTGTCTAGCCTTTGGCTCTTAAAAGATTTCATAAGCCCACCGCGAATCATGGCGTCAGGTGGTCCATTTGGAGAAAGCCCGACGCGAACAAAAGGAGGCCATGGATGGCGACTCTACAGGCCGCCATGGGACACGGGTATCAATGCAGTCAAAGTGTGGGAAGGGATGGGGTGGGTCAAGCCAAACTATATCGGATTATCTCGGATCAAAGATATAGTGTTTCATGTATGAATATATATATGCACGCATTGTGTGTGTGTTTGTTAGAGGGTGTGTGTATTGATATATGGGAGTCCTTCTAAAGGTCCATGTAGGGATTGTGAATTGCAAACGCCGCCAGTGTTACAACATAAGACCCCGCATTTTTTCCTGAGCTTGCGAAAATAGATGTTTATTTGACGAAAGAAATAGGGAACGTTTATCTTGATGAGGTGGCTTAAGCGGCTTAATCTCTGATTTTCCTCGGTGAAGTGAGGACCCTCTGAATTGTTTTGGCGGGTAGAGAATAGACCCAAGACTATATATATATTGTAATCAAGTGGAGCTGGCTGAACCCCCAACCACGATTCAGGGTGTGGATTTTTCGATTGATTTGCAAAGGATTTTTGCGAAAGTCTCGCGAAAGTTCCGCGAAAGCAGTGGCGAAAGAGAAAGTGTCCATGGAAGCCAGTAGCCCACACAGCACCTTTGCGGCGGCAAGTCAAGGGAATGTGGTAAACAATGAACCTCTGCTATTCCCTGGTGGAATTTTCCCAACACGACCTTGCATCTACCCTTGGCTTTCTCCCGGATCGCTGACACAGTTGCCGTTTGCATGCTGTTTGAGTGCGTCTCAACAGCAATCAACAGCACAAAAGTGGATAGCTGCAGTCCCGTGAAAGATTAACGCGCGGTTCGCAAAAGATTCGCGAAAGTAAATTTAGTATTCGCGAAGAATGGCCGTGTGCAGATAAAAGAATTTAGATCAACCGCCATACAATATAATAATAACAATATTCCTTTTAAATCTTCGTGGTCGGGCAGGGGCTCCCAGAGGAAACGACACAACCATGTGTTTATGAGTTTTCCTTCGGTTGAAAAGTGGACCATCGCAGCAGTTGCAGAGCGGAGCTACCAATCCCCAGCAGGTCGGCCGGATGGTTCCTCCAGCGAGGAGGAATCATCCACCAAGCTCCTGTGTTAGGCATCCAAAGAAGATGCCACCTGGCTGGGAAGTATTACCAAACACACCCACAGAAACAGTTGATTGTTGCAGCACCTCCGTTGTCGTCACATGTCTCTGGATGCACAACGTTGTGACATGCTTCGTGCTTGTATGCAATGCTCATCGGAGCTATCGCTCTAGCTATGCTGTCGGGTTTTCATTTTTGAGCCGTCAAGTCCTAGGCCGTTTGACAGCACGATGTTCATGTGAGCCATTGGCGAGATGCAAGACAGCAATGTTTGCGACTGCTACGTTAGGGGCAAAGCTTCCCCAACGTTGCACATTTTTGCAGCTTCACATTAAGCCATCGCAGAGACGGACACAGCGCACGACCAACAGTGCATGAGACATGGTGGTTGCGCTATCATGTCATGATGTGAAGTTCGCATGTGCATTTCACAATCCATATCTCCCGGTTGTTTGGCGATATCTTCAGGCAGCAGTAGTGTTCGATATGAAAGCACTGAAAGCACTGGAAAAATCCGGGCGTGCCTGTCACATGGCTTGAGGGCACATAATTGTTATCAACTTGCCATTGTGGATGCTAATGGACGAACCGAATTTTGAAGATATCTTGAGACTGAGGATTTCAATGAAACCCGTTGAGGTCGAGCATGACTGGTCATATATGGTCACTGTTGGTATTTGAGCATCATGAACCATATCAACAACCATCACCATCCTAAAGTTGTGGATCTACCAGAAGTTGACCTCTTGCATTGGCATCGCCAGGCCCTGATGCTTGGCCGGGAGCCAAGATTTGGGCATGACTGGGATTCTCCGAGGAGTTCCAACAGTATCCAAGAGTGATAAACAAGTCACGGCCTTTCAACTACAACTTCTCTCCTAGATTGAGATGAGCCATTTATTTGGCTATCATGGTAGATTCGCTGTATTTCTTGATGCCCACAGGAGGTCACCAGCAAGCTTGACGCTGACATCATGTGACCGTTCAGCTTTACGGGCTGGGTCATGCTGATCCACCAAGAAATCTTCCAGAAATGAATGTCCAATGTTCGTTGAAGAGGCATGATCATTTTAGATGTCTAAGTCGGGTGTCAAGATTGGCGGGTGGAATGTATCGCAATTCATGTGAACTGAGGCCTGATATACTCTCTAATTGCATTCCACATCGGCATTTGTCCAGAAATGACAAGGCTCCCGATACATTAACAAAGTGCTGTGTGATCTGCGTGTAAGTGCTTGTTTCGTGTCGAAATGTGAATATCCATGCATTTTCGTTTTTCAAAAAAAGAATCCAGGAGGTGAAGGAAATGGAACAATAATGATCAGGTGATATACATGACTAAAGATAGTTTACATTACATTGTGAGTTGTTTCGCAAGGATTTGGTATTTTTGAGTGGCGTTTTTTTTTGGTGTGTGAACATCCATTATAGACTTGATATAATAGTTGTATAATCATAAATGCCAGTAGTACCTGCACGAGGCGGGGCGGAAGTTGCCTTAGGGTTATACTGGAAGACCTTTCTCATCTATAGAACTTGCATGCGCCGTGCGCCAGCCAGGCCCGTGCGTGCGAACCTGTTGCACTGTTGTTATCCAAGCACATGACCTGCGCGCGACCCCGGCGCAATGCAACGCCAAGCGAACACTTTCTTCACACTTCACACTGCACTCTTCACACCCCCCACTTCACACTTCACACTTCACACTTGCACTTCACACTCCACACTTCATCTCATCTCAAATCATGTGGGACCCTTATCCTCCAAACCACTTGGTTTACAGCAAATTTGCATGATTTTGGAACTAAATCCAATTTCAATCTTGGGATCCTTATCCTCCAAACCACCTGGCTTTCAGCGAATTTGCATGATCTTGGGACTAAATCCAGATTCAGTCTTGGGATCCTTATCCTCCAAACCAGCTCGTTTACAGCGTATTTGCATGATCTTGGGACTAAGTCCAGATTCAGTTTGGGGATCCTTATCCTCCAAACCAGCTGGTTCACAGCGTATTTGCATGATCTTGGGACTAAGTCCAGATTCAGTTTGGGGATCCTTATCCTCCAAACCAGCTGGTTCACAGCGTATTTGCATGATCTTGGGACTAAATCTAGATTCAGTTTTCGGATCCTGATCCTTAAAAAAAAGGATGAGACGAATGTCTACAAAAGCCTCGAATCCACGATGTAAAATTAATTTTGGAAATCTTACTTTTCGGATCCTGCTCCTCCAAACTACCTGCTCTTGAGTGATTTTGCATGATTTTGGGACTAAATCCAGATTCAATTTTGGAAACCTTATCCTCCAAACCACCTTGTTTACCCTTGTTTATAGTTTATTTGCATGATCTTGGGACTAAATCTAGAGTCAGTTTTGGGATCCTTATTCTCCAAACCAGCTCGTTTACAGCGTATTTGCATGATCTTGGGACTAAGTCCAGATTCAGTTTGGGGATCCTTATCCTCCAAACCAGCTGGTTCACAGCGTATTTGCATGATCTTGGGACTAAGTCCAGATTCAGTTTGGGGATCCTTATCCTCCAAACCAGCTGGTTCACAGCGTATTTGCATGATCTTGGGACTAAATCTAGGTTCAGTTTTCGGATCCTGATCCTTAAAAAAAAGGATGAGACGAATGTCTACAAAAGCCTCTAATCCACGATGTAAAATTAATTTAGGAAATCTTACTTTTCGGATCCTGCTCCTCCAAACTACCTGCTCTTGAGTGATTTTGCATGATTTTGGGACTAAATCCAGATTCAATTTTGGAAACCTTATCCTCCAAACCACCTGGTTTACAGCGTATTTGCATGATCTTGGGACTAAATCTAAATTCAGTTTTCGGATCCTGATCCTGCAAAAAAAAGGATGAGACAAATGTATACAAATGTCTACAAAAGCTTCTAATCCACGATGCAAAATTAATTTTGGAAATCTTACTTTTCGGATCCTTATCCTCCGAAGTACCTGGTCTTGATTATTTTTGCATGCTTGTGGGACTAAATCCAGGTTCAGTTTTGGGATCCTTATCCTCCAAACCACCTGGTTTACAGCGTATTTGCATGATCTTGGGACTAAATCTAGGTTCAGTTTTCGGATCCTGATTCTACAAAAAAAAGGATGAGACAAATGCAGACAAATGTCTACAAAAGCCTCGAATCCACGATGCAAAATTAATTTTGGAAATCTTACTTTTCGAATCCTGATCCTCCAAGCCAGCTGGTTTAGAGTGTTTTTGCATGATTTTGGGACTAAATCCAGATTCAGTTTTGGAAACCTTATCCTCCAAGTCACCTGGTTTACAGCGTATTTACATGATTTTGGGACTAAGTCCAGATTCAATTTTGGGATCCTTATCCTCCAAACCAGCTGGTTCACAGCGTATTTGCATGATCTTGGGACTAAATCTAGATTCAATTTGCGGATCCTGATCCTTCAAAAAAAAGGATGAGACGAATGTCTACGAAAGCCTCTAACCCACGGTGCAAAATTAATTTTGGAAATCTTACTTTTCCGATCCTGATCCTTCAAACTATCTGGTTTTGATTGTTTTTGCATGATTTTGGGACTAAGTCCAGATTCAGTTTGGGGATCCTTATCCTCCAAACCACCTGGCTTACAGCGTATTTGCATAATTTTGGGACTAAATCCAATTTCACTTTTGGGATCCTTATCCTCCAAACCACATGGTTTTCAGCGAATTTGCATGATCTTGGGACTAAATCTAGATTCAGTTTTTGGATCTTGATCCTGCAAACCAGCTGGCTTACAGCGTATTTGCATGATCTTGGGACTAAATCTAGATTCAGTGTTCGGATCCTGATCCTGCAAAAAAAAAGTATGAAACAAATGTCTACAAATGTCTACAAAAGCCTCGAATCCACGATGCTCAATTAATTTTGGAAATCTTACTTTTCGGATCCTGATCCTCCAAACTACCTGGTCTTGAGTGTTTTTGCATGATTTTGGGACTAAGTCCAGATTCAGTTTTGGGATCCTTATCCTCCACACCACCTGGCTTACAGCGAATTGCATGATCTTGGGACTAAATCTAGATTCAGCTTTCGGATCTTGATCCTTCAAAAAAAAAGGATGAGACAAATGTCTACAAAAGCCTCTAATCCACGATGCAAAATTAATTTTGGAAATCTTACCTTTCGATCCTGATCCTCCAAACTACCTGGTTGTGAGTGTTTTTTTGCATGATCTTGGGACTAAATCTAGATTCAATTTGCGGATCCTGATCCTTCAAAAAAAGGATGAGACGAATGTCTACAAAAGCCTTTAACCCAGGATGCAAAATTAATTTTGGAAATCTTACTTTTCGGATCCTGATCCTTCAAACTACCTGGTTGTGAGTGTTTTTTGCATGATCTTGGGACTAAATCTAGATTCAATTTGCGGATCCAGGCATTGCGATGCGAGTTGTTCTGCCAAAAGCTGCGGTTAAATCGACCTCCCGAAGCACCAATTTTCGGGCAAATTTCGCGGTTCAGTCAAGGAAATTCCTAAATCGCCAAATTTCCGTGAAAATTCAGGGTTTCGTCCGCAATTTCCGGAAAATTTGGAACTATTGGCATAATTACATGATGTATTGGATCAATTCCGGCTACAAGTGTCGGGTTTCCGACAGGGGCGCCCACTTTTTCGAA